CTCTGCTACATCAGTGACCATTTTTCCTTCTCTTTCCCCATTGCAAGCAAAGCCTCCTGCTAAACAAGGATACTGGCAGGATGTTTTTTTTACCAATCTGACTCTTCACGTAACGTGTAGAATTGACTGGATATCATTGCATATGGCTGGCTTCTTTTCTGTTGTGGGATTATGCTAAAACCAGCCATCACAGAGTAGAGATTTGTAAACTCTGAGAGACTGAATTTTTCTAAAAGCACAGTACAACTTCTTTTAAGGGGTTCTTGCTCTTACCAGGCTGTTTGGGTCCAGGCAAAGGGGGCTTGGGTGGGAGGCACTGGGGAAAGCCAAGCACATTGGCTGCTCCTAGGGAAAGTGGGAAGGAAGTACTAGGAAGCCTCGGGGCTGAACATGCTAATTGGAAGTGATACACCGACAGGCTGACTTCTCCTGTTGGGGACATTGTAGAAGGAGAAGGGCACAGCCAGGGACTACAGTTGAACAGAAGGAGGGAAAGGGAAGGGCTGAGAAAATTGGGGGTGGCTGAGACAGAGTGAGATGCTGCACTGGGTCAGCAGCTGGAGGGGTAGTACCTGGATGGGACTGGCAGCTGGATGGGATCAATCAGAGGGCAAGGAGGGGGCAGGCTGGTGCAACATGTCATTGGCAGCTGGTAAGGGGGTGATATATTGGAGATTTGCTCACTTCCTTCCAGAATTTGTTTTATACATCTGATTGAAATGGTTCGGCAGACGGGCAGAAACACAGGAGTTTCTACTGACTTTAAAGGAAAAAAAGATGTGCTCACCTCTACTACCATGTTTCCCTGAAAATAAGACCCTGTTTTATATTTTTTTTGAACCCTGAAATAAGTGCTTGGCCTTATTGCCGTGTGCTCAAAAGACCGATTGGGCTTATTATCAGGGGAGGTCTTATTCTGGGGGAAACAGGGTACTTAGATATATGATATATGGCAATAAAATAAGAGTGTCATCAATCTGAATTGAACTTTTAGTATGTCCTTCAGAGAAATAGTTGAGGCATCAGTGTTTTCTGTTGTAGCAGTTTAAAAACAAAACAAAAAATTGGTGATGATGAAAATATTTTTCAGATTGAGAAGGGCTCCTTAAATACATGGATGTAAGAATTATTTCTCAGTAAATTACCTGGCCTGTCATTTTAAGACCAAGAAGAAACCAAATACTCTTAATAATTATCCAGGTCTGATTGGTACATGAGACCTTTTGCTCTGTTAGCCCTTCCTTCCTTCCTTCCTTCCTTCCTTCCTTCCTTCCTTCCTTCCTTCCTTCCTTCCTTCCTTCCTTCCCCAAACCCTATTTTATAAAGAGGTACCTTATGTAGTTCATCTTTAACTACAGAAAACATGCCTAGAGCAGTATTTTCAAGCACCTGCATCTAAGCAGTTTTCTGAAGTGGTTCTCCGCCATCATTTGAAGAAAAGCACAAACAATGGAAGAAATACCATTACTTTCAAGAGTCTGTTTTATTTATTTATATATACGCATTTATACTTGTTCAAAATGTGCATGCCGTTTCCTATTTTAAAATATCTCAGAGCTGTTTGCAGCTATATCTGGAGAAGAATGATTATGCTTTTACACTCCACCCTTTGGTATCTGCTTGGGTTCAAAAGTGAGCCAAGTTGCTTTTCCTTTAAAAAGCTGAGGCCAAAGGCAGATCTTCTGAAGGGGAACTCTTCCCTTTAGCACAGGGTGAAGACACGTCCTGCCACTGATCCTGCCTGATAAAGAAGCGATGGACATTTTGTTTTTTTAATCTGCAGCCAAGAGGTACCCTTGGATTTTTGTGAGTTCGGGAAGTGGAAAGCTGAAAACGATGCTGTGGCAGAAGTATTACTGCAGTTATATAATTTTCCCAAAACTTTCTGAGGCATCATCAGGGGGCTTTTATAAAGAATGTGTTAAATCTGTCACATTAGTGAAAATGGCAAAATTAGTTTGTGAAAGAGATTATTGGAGAACCCCTTCTGCTCACTTCATAAAGCACCCATTAACACCTTGTGAAACATTAGCCATTAATCAGAATCTGGGCAGAATAAACTACCCACACGTATCATTATCTGATCCTTAATGAAGCGATAATAAGAATGCTGGGGAGAAGGGATATTAATGTCTCCTAAGAGTCCAGAGCAGTGGAAAGGCTAGAAGCCAAGGTTTTTAATTTAGTGCCAAAAGCTTCCACTGTTAATAAGGTAGTTACTTATCCTCAGCCATTAGCACTGTTTGGCCACAAGTGTTCCACTTACATAAATGAGCTCAGCCCTGAGAAAGTGCCAGCTGTTGGACTGTTGATCCTCTTCCCATCTGGCTCTATTCTGCCTGGTGGAATCGGTGTCTAATTCATCCTACCCAACTGATGGTGTCATTCAAGCCACGGTTTTGTTTTCTTGTTTGGTTGTGATGGCGGTATAGGATCCATCCCTCCACGGAGAGAATACTTGGAGAACATAAACTGTCAGCCTCTGTGCCACACTTGACTTGACCTGTTTCACCTAACACTATCAAAGTCTAGCAAAAATACAGTAGTCTTTTAACCTTTTTTCCTTTAAAAAAGAAAAAACCCATTCCATATTTTGAAAGGATACAATCAACTTTAGAAGAGTATTCTTCCTCCTGGGGCATTTTTAACAGTGTGAAGATTTTGGTTAAAGACTGATAGAAGGAGTGATAGAAGGGAGTAATGCAATTGTTCTCCAGTCAAAACATTTTTGCAGATTTTGGAACTTCTACGAAGAACAGCCTGAATGACATGTGAACTAAACTTACATATAAAAGACTTCCTAAAATGGATCCCGAATCCTGGAAATTCTCTCAATATATCTATGGAACGTAGTTGGCAGCAATAAAGGCACGACTGGCATAGCTTTCTCCCTAAATGTTTTCTCAGCTTTACAGTCTTGCTCTGGGCATTTCTGCCAAACACTATGCAGGTGCCATTCTGCTTTGGGATCAGTCAATAACAGGTAAACGTAGATCTTTCAAAGTGATTCTCAGCCTGAGGCTCTCCAGATGCACCAGATTTCAATTAATAGAATACCCATCTGGGTTTAGGAAGGATGCTACACCACATTGCTCCCATTTCTGGGGGGGAGGGATGGGGAAATGTTGCAAGAATATTTTAGAATGCCAAACACCAGAACCACTTAAGATCTGCCACTCTTTTGCTATTTTCCTTCTTTCCTTTCCTTTTCCTTTCCTTGTAGGGGTAGGGTAGAAGTTGACCGCAGAGACTTGCCTATCTTTCCTGTGTCTTGGCTATTTTGGAACAAGGTAGATTTTTTTTTGATTTTTTTTTTTAAATTTGATTTATATGCCGCCCTTCTCCGGAGACTCAGATTTTAATGTGTAGACTTATTTATGGATGTATATCCTATTTAGATGAAGAAACACTCATATGGTCATTGACACAAAAGAAAGTACCTATAATCTTCTTGTGCTCTATTTTTCTTTCTCTGACACTTGCCTTTCTTACTATTTTTCTAAGTCGCTATTACTGCAGATGGTAAATAAAAATTAAACAGCTAACACTTTACTATTGGATTAGTATTTATAGAGTTCCTGCGGTGCTGGCAGAACTAGTTTCTAGCAAAACCATTAGTACGGAAATGAAAGGAAATGATTAATTCACATGTCTCCTTCTTCTTTTCACGTAGAGCAAGATCACCAGGTACCAACGAGTGTTCTGTTGGGTATGACAATGACTTATGTGCCTTCAGTACAATAATTAAACCAATGACTTCCTATGACTCCACTCCCAGTCAGAAACTACCGAATGATGATATATGGTGTTGTGGATTCAAAAAAATATAAAATTTGGCATGGGTGTTAGCAGAGCAGACTTTTACTTTGATTGTGCAAATGTCCTAGTTCATAAAATGCATTTGTAAGTCTCCCGCTTTGGTCATTTTTATTTGCAAAGGAACCCATAGAAGATATGATTTAAAAATTCCAGGAGATTTTTAATCAGCAACATCAGAAGAATGGAAAGATTTAGTGGTGGAGTCTAGCTTTATCTCCCTGCCATCCCTCTTACACGCAGCCTTTCCTATGACTATTCTACTATAGAAACAAGAGAATACCCGGATTTGCTTACATCCTGTATGTTTTTCTTTCTTGATCTCCAATGACAGTAAGGGTTGCAAAACATGTACATCATGTTTCGAAAATGCTTTCTTATAATTTTGTTGTCCTTGACCAACTTTCCCCATTTCTAGTTTCACCTCATTAAAGGAAAGGAGAGTGAAAATAAAGATATTCAGAGAGAAGAAAAGTCAAGAAAACACTGATGTGAAGTGTGCTTCAAGCAACAACGTCCTTTCATCTGTTTTCATCAGCTTTTCCTTTTTGAAAAAGGTATTTAGTTTAATAATCAGTGAAATGTTCATTTTAAACACATACACACACAACTTTAAGAGCAATGGGATTACTCTGAAGAAGTAGCTGCTGCCAAGGCTTTGCGAATGAGCCTGAAGTCACGCATGAACAGCATCTCCAAGGATTAATGAAGAACTCTGCTGATATAAAGAAACTGTTTTGGTGTCGGTTTTTTTTTTTTTTTTTAAAAACTCTCCTGAAGCTGTTGCTGTGAGGGATACAGAAAACACAACGAGGACACAAAATTGGTTCAAACCTGTGCAGGAAGGCAGATATAAGTAGGCTTTCATCCTTGAGTGATTTTAGCAATACAAGCCTTAATTCCTGGTCCTCTAACACAAAGGTTCTTCACTGAAACTTTGGCAAAAAAGCATCTCATTTGCCATTAACCCTTCATATGCCATTAAGTGCTTGAAGTGTGATATATTCATTGGAAGCTAAATGCAGTACAGTAAAATGAAAAAAAACAAAGATAGACTGCTTGTACTGTTCCAAATGTAGTAAGTATCTGCTAGGAATACTGTGTTGTATTAGATAACCTGATGAGAGACCAAGTGACAAATATTTAGCATCCCGTACATCCCAAGACCACATACCCAACTGAAATGAGTTTGCTTATCCTTTTAATAATGATATAGCTTTAGCATTATCTTGTAAATAACAAGTTAGAAGTCGATGCTTTAATCTTACATCTCTTGATCAAAATACAAGCATGTAATATTTAGAGAAGGTACAATAATTAACCCTCCAACTATTTCTAGACTGCCTTTAAAAACCAAAATGTCCAAAGGAATATGTTCCATTTTTAATAGGTTTTCTACACCTTGTTGGATTTTAAATTACATAATTTAATTGTGGAGGGTGATTTACATTTAAGAATGAGACAGATCAGCTTTTAAATGTTGCCAGCTAGATGGGAGGTATTTGCTCACGAACAGCTCTCAAATATTTGGGAAATGATTTCAGCCACCAACTTGTGAGCAAAGCCTGATTACATGGATCTGTTTCCCAGATGGCTGTTTTCTAAGCTAAGCAGCCTCTAGTCTCAGATGCATGGTTTCTATTATAGCTAAATGATCAGCTAAAGGGCATCTGAGTCATGCAATAATCACTGCAATAATCTCTAATTTATTTACTACAGTTTTTAAAAAATGGTCATATAGGTAATAGGTGTTTCAACAGGAGATAGCAAGCAAACATTTGCAGAATTATTTTTATTTTAACTGGTGGGGTCCAGGTAGACAGACTTCTCTGCCTTTGGCCCCAGCCTTTGGAACATTCTGCTCCCCAAAGGTGAGGCAGCCCCCTACAATTCTGGCCTTCTGGAAATGTCTGAAGACCTGGCTCTGCCGAAATGTTTGGTGCCCAGAGGAGCATGTAGCCATGGGGCTGGTTAGTGTCTTGAAGGCCCGTCTCACTTTTAAATTTAATTTTGAATTTTAATGAGCCTGTTCTTGTTTAACTCCCACCTATTATAATATTTATATATAGCTTTTTAGGTTTTTACGTCTAATTTGTACATTGTCCAGAGTCACTCTGTGAGGGAGATTTTTAAATATGATATATAGATATAGTAATGCTGAAGGAGAAAAGCTTAGGTTTTTTTCTAAGCATTTCACATTGTGCACTAATGTGAAATAAAAAGATATGCTGGCAGCAGATTTCCAACCACTTAATATACCAGCAATATACCAGTTCTGCGTCCAGCTAGATGGAATATCTCTTTGGTTTATCTAAATGTTATTGATGGAAATCTGATGGAAACCTGGGGAGAGTTAGGGTCCAGCAAATCTTTGAGTATTTTCCAAATTTAGGGATTTTGATTAAGGAAGACACCAATGTAGTGTCAGTGGGAGAATAGAATCAAATATAGATTTCCTCCTTTTTACTTAAGTGGGGGCAGATATGATCAAGCCTATGGTTCCCAAGGACCATAAGATTGCATTCTGTGTGTGTTTTTTAAAAAAGGTACCAGAGGGGCACCATTTTAATTTATTGCAAAATAAGGGTAGAATGTTCTAGTAACAAAAACTAAGTTGTGGTTAATTTATGGAATACTCAATTTACTATTCTCATTAAAGTAGCACATGCCTCATTGAAAAATGGATTGGTATTCTAATTCGCCCATTTTGCTGAACAGAAACAGGAACAGTTAGTTTAGATGAATCACAATAGGTGATTTTTGTGAAAATCATTACGTTACATGTATGATCAAAAACCGATGTTTTGTTCAGCTTATCCAAGTGACCAGATGAACTTGGTGATTTTGCTCCAATAGTCGACTGCATTGTTCAATGCAGCAATTTGGCAAGAGTTGCCTGTGTGGGTCTTTCTTGCCTTTGTTCTCTGGGATTAGAGGAGTTAATCAAAGCGACAGTGACTTCTGGCTTGATATAGTTAGAAAGGTCACAAACCTGAGGCTCCATTGTTTTCCAGTCAATGGTAAACTGATACATAAAATGCTCGCAGCTTCCATTCTGCACAATGCAATCCCCCATGAAATTATCAATCAGCAAGAAAAAGCCATTACAAAAGGTGAGCAAGGTCAAGGTTACATTAGTTTCAGCGCATCTAGCCCATTTTTCAAACTCTTCTCCCAATAACAGGTGGTAATACTGAAATGGAGCAGGTGTTAAAAAATGCATATCCTGCCTGGATTTGATGGAAATTAGATTCTGAGTTCCAACCTCATTCGATGTGGACTCTCCAGCTGAACAAAGGAAACTTGGAGCTCTCAGTTTCCACTAGGATGAGTTAACATACAATGACAAGCTGATTTTTCATGTTGGGAAACCAGAAGTATAAAGCTAATGCGAACCTGAGATCACTGATCTGAAGCTTTTTCTGTTATTACTTTTCAGTTATGGTGGGGAAATTGTCTAGTATATGAATTTAGGTTAGATGTCCCGTGGCAGGGTATAATAAACAATTCTTGAAGAAAATGCTTTATTTTGCAGTGATACACAAAAAGTTCAGCAACACTGTATTAGCTTCAGAAACTGCTTCAGCAAATCCATGGGGAAAAGAGTTACAAGGTTAGCACGGTATTGCTTCCATATGAAACCATTCCTCCCAGTGCCATGTCTCCTACGACTGTGTCTCTGTCTCCATGAAGTCTGAGGGGCAGGAAACTGTCCCATGTGCATGAAAAATCCAAAGTGAGCAAGCACTTTAGTGACCAAGTACCTTGGTCACTACTTGGTCACTATCTCGGTTCCTGCTTGCATGGGTGAACAGTCAAATCCTCCCCCCTATCTGCAGACATGCACCATATACTTCTAGATGGCTGAAAAAAAGATACCATCATCACATGCATGAAAGCTGGGGGAGCAGGGGGAAGCAAGCCCCATATGAGACAAGCTCCTGTTTAACATCTGAGAAGAGTACAGTTACAAAATAGTGTGGGCCAACCTGAGACAACAGAAGATTACAAAATTAAAGTGCTCTCTGAATGGCATCCTCAAGACTAAATGGAGTTTTGTTAGCTCCTCTTTTTCGGCCTGGACCATTCAGAATGACCAGAAGAATTCTTCATACTACCGAAGAAAGCTGTTATAAAAAACTAATTGTGATAGTTTCAAACAGCTGTTTCCGTGATCTAATTAAAACAACAAAGTGACCCTCCTTTATCTATCAGTAACCGTCCATTAGGTCCTTGTTATCAACAGCCTGGACAGAGATATTCCATTCAGGTTGCCTACAGAATCCTTTGTAATCAAAACAACTCAATGTCTGTGACATCACTAAGATCTTCGGCTTCTGATTAAAATAGCATGAATATCCATGACATTTGTGCCTGTCAGGCCTGTCATCAAAAGGTGATGTCCATTTTGGAACTTGGAGAAAAATGTATATGAATCATTATTGCTCAACGTGCTTCCCACGTCAAAGCCTTCCTGCTCGGCCTCCTCTACCAGATCCTGGCTGCAGAAGGCCCCAGCAGCCTCTGTTGGCCCATCTTGTCCATCAGTTCCACCACTCAAAAACATGACTTCATATTTATTAAGACAGCTTCCCTCCATAGTGGATTTAGCTCTGTGCAGTTCCAAGGCCACTCGCAGAGCCAGTTCCTGGTTCCTTCCACCCTTCCCACTTCCTTGAATCTGCACAGTGGTTTCTCCACCTGCCAAAAGACAAATGGGGTTTTCCCCATGGGTTTTTTTCATTGTTATTAGAGAGTCTATCAGGCTCAAGACTGGAATCTCCAGCTGTCCTGAAATGCTTGTGAGCGATTCTTTCATGGAGTCTCTTAAAGGTCTATTTCCAGCATCATTTATAATGCTCAAGCATACAAACTGAATCAATAGGCTATAGAAACGAGCAACAGTGCTGACCTCCCCACCCACAGCATCACTCAAAAGTATAGTCAGGTAACCCAACTGTTCTGCTTGGCATTTGGCTCCCTCTAAAGCTAACTTGTTGGATCCAATCACAACATTGCAGACGTGGGAATAGTCTTGCTGGGTGCTGTGCTTTGTGACAGAGCTAGAGAGGATTGTCAACACAGACTTTGGCAAGGTATTCAATACATCATATTTGGCCAGTATCTGAAAGCAGTCCTGCACGCTGTGAGAAGTGGCAACAGTCGGGCCACTTGCTATAATGTCCAATGGATCTCCAATGACATCAGAGAGGATGAGGCTCAAAACCTGAAATAAATAAGCAATCATAAATATTGTTCATGTTGCATTGGAATTGATCCAATGCAATGATCAATCCTACATAGGTGAAATGAAGCTAAGCCAGAGTCCTAGGACAAGAAAGACAGCCACCTTCATATTTCCTGCCTGCTGAAAAACTGGGAATGAATGATATAGTTAATCTATGTCTTCGTATACTGTATGATTCCTGCTGTACAAAAAAACGGGCTCAGTGTATTGCTAATAGACAGAATTATGTTTGACATATAAAGTATGAATCATTCTTCAATTTCTTCCCTACTGCTCTGACAAAATTATTGTCTTTCGCTTTTATGAAAAATAGATCATATTTCATAGTTTATACAGGTAGTCCTTGACTTATGATCACAATTGGGACCAGAATTTCTGTCATACATTGTTGCAGTTCTTGAATTCAATTTTATGATTATATTTACAACAGTTGTTAAGTGAATCACTGTAGCCATTAAACGAATCCACAATCTTCTCAATGGACAGTTTTTTGCTGGAAACTGGCAAAAAAAGTTACAAATCATGATCATGTGACCACATGATTGTAATCACATTGCAATCACATGACCATGGTGGTATTGTAACAGTTGTAAGTGAGAGCACTGGGCATAAGGGCTTCTTTTTCCAGCACCACTGTAACTTCAAACATTTGTTAAACAATTGGTTGTAAGTCAAAGGCTACTTGTATAAGTTCTTAATTGTTAAATGTTTGCAAATATCTGCAAAGCAGAAAAGTTTTTTAAAAGTTAAATCCCTCAACCCAAATTATTTACAAATTGTGTAAAAGAAAAATTAAGCAACAAGGCATCGTTTTTACTTAATTTGTATTATTCATTACAGCTGAACAATCAGAATTTTTGATGGGATGCTTTGGCATTTTCAGAACAGAACTTTAGGTCCCCTGCTCAAATATTCTATTCACCTCAAAGAATATAATTTATCACATTTAATTTTTTTGGGGGGGAAACCCGAGCCCTTATGATCATGCAAAGGAAGGACTTCTGGAAAGGACTTTAGATGAAAGTTGGTGCATTAAAACTGAGGTCTTCCAGATTTGTACCAAATTAGCCTGTGTTGCAATGATTTTTACAAACAAATCACTATTGTTGCATAATTCATTCTGGGGGTATTAATTTGTATTTATTGCATTATTCTGTATGCACATTCCCTAGCTCAGCCTAGAACTAAAAGATTTCTTCAAGAATACTAAAAATATGTTAAGTACTAATCACAACCATTTCCCTACATTCCTTAGATGTTTCTGATTGCTCCAAATGTTTAAGCATCAGAATTGACTGATATAATGTCCCTGATATTAGTGAGGATTAACATTATCCTGACCTTAGATTTATCCCTTTCTCAAACACAGTCTAGAATCTAGAGAACTACAACTGGCATTTCTTTTAAAACCAAGAGTTATTGGGCCAAGACAGCTTTTGATACACTTACCTGGGCAGGATAAGCCACCCGGGCCAGCCCCCCACCTTTTGACAAAGAGAGAGCCTTTCGAATGGTATTCAGCTCTTGAATGGTGGCTCCTTTTGAAGTAAGTAACCTGACGACGGTGGCCTTGTCTTCGAGGGTAACAGGAGGGATAGGTGCAGGTAAAAGGGCAGATCCACCTCCTAAAAGCCAGAGAAGTATGCTTTTAGGCAACAAGGCTCCTTTCTTGCCAAGGTTAGCCTCTATCAGAAGACAACAGACCCACCAAAGAGAGCCCTATCCAGGCAGCATTTTCCTCTTTCCATCTTTTGCCATTTTTCTCCTCCTGCTTTTCAGATGATTATTTTACAGAATGACAACTTTCGTATCAAGTAATTAAAACAGAGATTGACATATAAACTCCTTCTAAAAGGGCAAGGTAGCTTTCCTCCCATGTATATTAAAGGTAGAGAGCCAATTTGGTGCAGTGGTTAAGGCATCATGAGTTCTAATCCTCAGGGATCATGAGTTCTAACCCTGCTTTAGGCATAAAGACATCCAGGTGACCTTGGGCCAGTCACTCTCTGCCCCAGGGAGAAGTAAAGGGCAAACCTCTTCTGAAATATCTTGCCATGAAAACTACAGGTAGGCTGTGTTAATGTCTTACAAAATTCATCTTTGCAAGTACAAGATAGAAAATCTGGAAATGATGATGTGGTGTGGCAGCAATATAGGCACAGGAAAGTTAACTACATATCATTGTGTGTGATGGATTGTGTTTATGAAAGGGGACATGGATTTCAGTGACGGGGCAGTTTCTCAGAAAGAAGAGAGAATAGTCCAAGGAGGGGAGCAAGACAAGAGGCACCACAACCCGAAGTTGGATCAGGAAGAAAGTTAGGATAGCACTCCCTAGAATCTAGTTAGGGTGAGAAGAGTATAGGCTTAGTCTGGCAAGATTCTGTCTATATGATCTGAGCAACTAAAAAACTGAATGTTGGTTGTACTGTTTTATCTCATTCTTAGGCTGGGCGTGACAATGAGATATAATTCACTTCCTAAACACTCCTCCCCTCCCTAAATCTATAAGATTCAGAAATGCCTCTGAACTCACATGATTTCAACCTATCTCTGCTAGTCATTAAAGCTCACCACTTTTTTGTGTAAGCCTGAAAAAAAGATGATTATGGTTTAAGGAATTCACAGATTTAAGTTAACATGTCTCTTCAAACAGTGGCATTTTTTTCATATAAAGAAGGGTGAATGAATAGTTGAGAAGGATTGAGCTCACACAAAATCCAACACACTTCTTAAGAATTATTTTCAGAACACACAGCTCTCAGAATTAGACTCCCAATAATCCAGTGAATTGAAAGTTTCATCCTGAAATCCATTCAGATTTACTTATGTAAAGAAAGCCATAGACTAACAAGGTGGAATCACATGTACAGATGAGAATACATTTTACAGTGCTTGTTATTTCTGCATAAAAAGAGCTCTAAATACAGGGCCAGTTTAAGCAAAATAGAGAAGGAAAATGAATTGCAACTGAACACGTCAGCCAGGTGTCAGGGATAGATGGATTAGAGGGAGACAATCCATTAAAGAGAAATATCTCAAGCACCAGACAGACCACCTGAGCAATGGATGCACAATTACAACTAACAGAAAGTCCATGGAAAGAAAAGATCAAGAGAGTAGTGAAAGGCCTCAAGGTCAACTCTATGTCAATGATAGTAAGTTGCCATGAAATACAAAATAAACTGAAGTTTGAGACACAATCTCTTGCAAAATACACCCCTGAAAAACCATTATATAGGGATTTTTAACCAACTGTTAGAAACTTACTCATGGCAACATTAACCAGAAAGGGAATTCTTCTCATATGAGAGCAGTGGCTTCCAAAAAACTAAGGATAACAGGCAGTGGTGTGATAATAACCTCTTTTCAAAGAATTGCCTACAAAAGTATGAATAGACTTTTCCTCAAACAGCAGTATCATACTGATCGCTCTTCCTGGGAGGGTAAGAGTCTTTTTATATCTATCTTGTTAAGTTCATCTATCTTCTATCTCATTGCCAGCAGATCTTTACTCAAATTGTAGGGGATGTGGAGACTGTCTTCTCCACCCTAGATTCAAGAACAATTACTCTCGTTCATATGTCAGAATCAGATCCTGCTATGTCTGCTTGTGTTTTGACGTTACAGCTGAGGTTCCATTCATACAGCAGGGGTTGTTAACCACTTCTTTAGTAGATTAAGACAAACTACACATACCCTTGACTCTTGTCTTCTCTATCTAAGGCAACCAAGGAAGATCCAGTCAACTAGATGGCCAATCTGCCATTGAACATTCAGCCTTGGGGTGGGGGTGGGGGCGCTAGTATGACACCTCTTAATAAAAAAAAGTCCTTTCTAGTTCCCCATCCTGTTAATTTCCAATTTGCTATTCTTGAACAAGGTGCTTAACCATAGTATGGCACCTCAGATTCAGGAGTTCCTGGATGAAACAGGTTGCTTAGACTCATTTTAGCTTTGGTTGCCTTGGTAAATAATCCACAGTGAAATCACGACAAGGGGACTATGTCCCTGTCATTTTGCTGGACGTCTCAGTGACATGTAGCTTCACTTCTCTTTTTTATCTATTGCTAGGGATGGTGTGGGTTCTAAATTGGGTTCTAGTAACAGCAATAGGTGAGGTAAATGGGTTAGATGTCTGAAGGCATTGCTATACTCCAATCCTATAACAATTGCCAACAATTATCTCTTTATTTTGGGGCACAATTTAAAGTGCTGAGAGTAATTTTGAAAGCATTACAGGCTTAGGGTCCAAGATACCTCAGGGATTGCCTTCTTAATGGGATTGCCTTCTTAATGGTAGCCCACAAACTGTGGAACCCTCTTCTTAGGAGTCTAGACTATCGCCCTATTGGATAATGTTTTGCAAATAAGCAACACCTTTCTATTTTAGGAAGGCATTCAATATCCAGTTCAGTTTTAGAAGCTATGGTTATTCCTATTAGATGTCTTTATACATTTTTCAAACGCTGCCAAAATTTAAATCTTGCACTTATTTCAAGTGTTTTAAGTTCTCCAAGTGATGCATATGCATTAAAGGGCAGGAACACAATGTGCATATACATATAAAAATAAAATCAGTAACCATGCTGATTAATTTCTGCCTCCCTAATCTGGAATTCCTTCTTCACGCAGCCTATGTTTTTACATTTAAAACATGTAAATTTTACACATCTAAAATGCAAAACCTAAAAAAGGTTAATTGTGGCCAGTGGTGGAGGATGAGTGAGGAGTAAGCGTGAATGTATTTTTAAAAGATCGGCCTGAAAGTTCCCACATAGCCGATATTGCCCCTGAATAAAGAACATGCTACCCAAGCTTGCAGAATTGTGCCAATTTAAGCGGAAAGGCATTGTGAGTGAAACACAAGCAAGCTGACCCCTGCTCCAGACTTCTTTTGTCTCAGCTTCATCCCTGATCCAACCATGTCCATACCATGAATCAGTTTTGCATGACAGTTATCTTACAACCGGGTAAATAGCAATGCTTCCAGAAATGACGCCAGGATCCTAGACGTTTGTGTCTACAGTGACACAAACTGTAGCTTGAGATGCCCAATAATCCATGCATGCTTTAACATTCTCATTGCTTTAATATGCAAAAAAGAGACAAAATGGGTGAAATAAAAAAGCATACAGAGAGAAAAAGGGGGGGAAAAATCACGGAACATATCAAATCAATATTTAAATTCATCTTTATATCTTGACCACACAGACTAATATTGACCAATCTTTTCATTACATCAAGAGAGATCCAGTTCATAAACAGAAAGGAAATACATATCGGTAATCCCCAAATTATAAATATCTGGGACCACACCATCGTTCCACCATTGAAGAATAATCTTCGTACAGAGATTAGTTCCAATTTGTGGGATGGTGGTTGTGGTCCATAATTCAAAAGTACATTCACATCTTTAAATTGTATTAAAGTTTGTACACCAAAGTAATACATTTATGAGTATAAAACCATTAAATGGGTAATATGGATCAAATCCATATCATACAAGTGAGTGTTTCTTCACCCATTTTATATATGCTACATGTGACTGACATCCAAACATTTTAAAATATTATTTCAGGTGCTTAGCACATGTTAAAAAATTATTTTATTGAATTAGTAATTTTAAGAAGCATACTTACTATTCTTTAAAACTCTTAACCATTCATTTTTAATAAGATGCTTCAATTCTTTATTCAATTCTTCTTGCAAATAACTAATGCCTACCTCAGTGGAACTTTTTAATTGTTTATTTAGGAAAAGAGGTAGAATTAGAATCATGCCCAAACCAGTGACTTTTGGGAAATGTTTTGAAAATCTAGAGCAGGGGTCTGCAACCTTAAACACTGGAAGAGCCATTTGGACCCATTTCCCACAGAAAAGAAAATACCGGGAGCCACAAAACCTTTCCCATGCCTATTTCTTGAGCAGCCACAAAACTAGCATATGTAGTTGAATTAAATGTTCTGTTTTCTTCTGAAACTTTTCTTTTCTTGGATTTATCCATGGTTGGCCTACTGGGGTTTGAAAAGCTCAATAAATTGCGTGCCAGCGGGTGTCGCACATTGGCAGTTGTGACGCATATTTTGAGTGACAGGGAGCCGCAGCAGAGGGGTGAAAGAGCCACATGCGGCTCCAGAGATTGCTGACCCCTGATCTAGAGAAATTGACAATGCATTTGAGCAATGCATTTTACATTGGCATTTTGCAATGTTAGGGAATCCAAATTCTTCCTGCAATAATTTAAATACTTTAAACATTTGATCGGCAACAGCCTGATTTCAAGCAATTTTCAAACTGGGATTAAGAGAGTTTATGTTTACTATGGGAATAAGGTATAAATTAGCTTTCCATTCCAATATTTTCCAAATTTACTCTGCAAACATAAGCTTAGAAATACAATGGAGCTATGCTGAAATCGAGCCCTCTGTCAGGGTCTTGATCCCCTTACATTCTTCAATTTTTATTCTTTCATGTTTTTGAAATTACTTGCATCTGATCTTTATAACTGCAAATGAAAAAAGTTTTCTGCATATTCCTAATATTCCTAAATATTAACAACTATTAAATAATAAGTAATTGTTAAACTATATAATAGGCCTGTGAATGCAAACCTATGGCACACTTGCCAAAGGTGGTACACAGAACCCTCTCTGTGGGCACGTGTGCCGTTGCCAGCTGCTCTTCTGGTTTCCTGTGCGTGCATTAGCGCCAGCCACCTGGTCATTTGGTTTCCGGTGCTCCAGTGCGCACTAAGACCAGTTGGCCGGCACGCATGCGCCAGCTGGTCTTCAGGTTTCCAATGCTCGCGCATGTTCTGGTTTAGGCACTCGGTGCCAAAAAGGTTCACCATCACTGTAATAGGCAATACACTGTTATATAACATATTAAAATACAGAAATTACTATTTAAATAAATAAATTTATTAAATAAATAAATCTTTAAAAGCATTCAAACAGCAGAAACCTCAATGATTACAGATTTCCATTTAAATATTCATTCCTATAGGAAATGAATCAAATTTGTATCACTTACCTGAACAACCTTATAGAAGATCAAAATCAACAAAAATGTGTGTATGTGTATATATATATATATATATATATATATATATATATATATATATATATATATATATATATATATGTATGTATGTATGAAGCACATTTACAAACATAATTATATACATTAACTAACGTACTGACATCAAATGGGTTCTGTAGAAATAAAATCATCAGTATGATCCAGCATGTAACATCCAGACAGAAGAGAAATCAACAAGAGGAACAAAACAATGGGAAAGCCATCTTGCCCTATATAAAAGGAACAACGGATAAAATTAGCAAAATACTACATAGACACAACATCAAAACCATATTTTGCACAGATAGAAAGATATCGTCTATTCTGAGAAACCCTAAAGACAAAATAGAATTAGAAGATCAAGGCATATACGAAATCCCGTGTGCTTCCTGCCCCTCAACATATATTGGACAGACCAACAGAAGAATGAGCGTGCGCATCGAGGAACATAAAAATTCAGTACAAAAGAAAGAACACACATCATCATTAGTACAACACATAAATGCCACAGGACATCATATTAATTTTAATAACACAAAAACAGTTGCAAAAATAGAATATCTCAATGGCAGAATAATCAGAGAGGCCATTGAAATAGAGAAAAGACCATATTGTATGAATAAACGTGATGACACTTCCCATCTGCCTACTATTTGGAAACCTGCTCTCATAGACAGACGAATCTTAACACAAAATATAAACCATAGATCAAAGATTCATCATAATGCCTGTGTTGCCACCATTTCCAGCATAACTTATCCATTAACCCACAACCAGTGCTTCCACCCAATCAAAATACAGCTATGTCATCAGCCAATCAGAATACAACAACACTGTCGACCAATCAGAATACACCTTTGCCTCTTTTCATAGAAAAACATCAGTTACGATCACACAGTTTGCCCATAAGCACCAAACCGAGAACTTCAGCCAGAAGATGACGAATGCGATTTCGTCGAAACGTCGCTACTATCCTTTTAAGGATATGTTTACAATTACACGGGAAGAAACCCGAAATATTAACTGTATACACACACACACACACACACACACACACACACACACACACACACACATGATATCACTGATAATAACAATTTGTACCCAGTTTCATCCACTGTTATATACCAAATATTCTCCATTTTCTAATAAACTTTAAAATCAAATACAAAAGGAGGTAAACTTTACAAGTTTCATGAGACCATAATTCCATCTGAAATACTCATTCACCAATAACTAGAATATCACATATTAATACAATTAAATTAAAAAAACTGTAGTTAGGCAGAATCTGTTTCAAAAATTTCCACTGCATCACATTGAAGGCTTTTTTCCATCTTCAACAAAACCATCAATAGCAATTTGAGTTCTTTGAATGTATATCCAGAATATAAATTAGTAATCTGATATTATCAGATGCTTGACGATCTTTTATAAATCTAGATGGATAGGAGGGATTCAATAGTCAGAGTTAATACTGTCTGTCATTTGTAGACCAAGATTGATGATGTTGGGAAAGACAGAAGGCAAGAGAAGACAGGGAACGGCAGAGGATGAGATGGGTAGATACTGTCACTGATGCAAAGGGCATGGGTTTGGGTGAACTTCGGGAGCTAGTGGAGGAGGCGGGGGTGGAATGTCATTGTTATACCTCCAATGAGAGAAAGGAAGAGCTGAAGAGATCTTATACCACCCAATGGAATATGCATTCAAACTGGAGATTTCCTTCCTTACATAAATTTAGTGGCATCTGTTATTTCTTAGATAAAGGCAATCTTTAGAAGAGCTATTTTATGAATAAAATCTTAATTTTTCTTTAGTTATGTTTGGCTTAGCATTACACAACTGAAACTAAACATTTTTAAATTGCTTCAGTTACTCAAAATGATTATGTATATATTTTATCCTACCATACTGTGAAATTAGTAGCTGGCTCAGTATCTTTGCTTCATATAATTCAATGAATATTCTGTTTCAAGTTAATAAAGGGAATTAAGCTCCTGTTTAAGAACTCCTCATAACATTCTTATGTAAGCTGCTCAAGAGTTTCTTAAATTTATTAAATGATGTTTTATGTATTTATTTATTCATTCATTCATTTAATTTCTACAGCTGCCCATCTCTGTCAATGACTCTGGGCTGCTTACAATTCAAATATATTTACAAGTAAAGTTTTTTTCTTCTTTTAAAGAGAGATTCTGCAAATATTTGGGTTGCCTAGACTGTCTTTAAGGTAGATCGATGTGATCATACTATTGTTTATACCTCAAACAAAAAGAAATAGTTGACAGTTAAGAAAATAGTGGAAAGAACAATCTGTGCAATAATTGCACCAACATAACTGATACCAAGACATCAAGATGAAATGAATGCTATGACGTATACCTCCAAAGCATGACTACTTGGAATGGAAATTCAGTTCTTCCTAGCCCCTTCAGACCAAACAAATTGGCCAACTCATTGGCACACTAGACTGTTTCCATGGATAATAGGATCAATCTATTCTCCAAAGCACCTGGGGGTGGGACAAGGAGTAATGGGTGAAAGATTATTAAAGAGAGATGCAACCTAGTATTAAGGAGAAATTTCCTGACAATGAGAACAATTAATAAGTGAAACAGCTTGCCTTCAGAAGCTGTGTGTGTTCCAACACTGGAGGTTTTCAAGAAGAGACTGGACAACCATTTGTCTGAAATGGTTTAGGGTCTCCTGCTCAAGCAGGGGGCTGGACTAGAATGCCTCCAAGCAGTGGTGGGTTGCCCCCGGTTCTCACTTGTTCTATAGAACCAGTAGTAAAACAGGTGAGAGGCTCTGCCCACCAACCCCAACGTCATCAGAATGCTTCTGCGCATGCGCAGAAGAGCACCCATGCACATAAGAGCGTGCATGCACATGGCCCCATTGCGAACCGGTAGTAAAGGTAAGTAGAACCCATCCCTGCCTCCAAGGTCCCTTCCAACTCTGTTATTCTATATTCTATGTCCATGCTCCTTCTCAGCTTACTGTATTTTTCAATATTACATGGCATATTCTGATTCTGGACTGCCACCTGCTGGACAAAAAATAGCCTAGCAGTTTTGAAATTTCTAAGCAAAAAAAGCTAGACCAGTTTCATTAGACTGGAAAGCTCAGTAGAACAACAGAAACTATTTTAGAGATTATTTGCAAAATTAGAGTCAAAGCATACATACTTCTTATTTTTCAGTAAAGTTGAATTAGATGGAGAAAGAGAAAAAAATGTACATCAGGCAGACTCAGAACTCATCTGTGTAAATCACGGAAACTATGGAGAACTGACTCATATGAAATGACCACATTTATTTTAGCAAGCTACAATAATAATAATAATAAAAACATTTATGCAAAACTATTAGTATTACATTTCCTTCCATTGCAGAAGATCCCACTTTCCCCACGGCAGAACAGCAGCAAAAGCTAAGGGCAGGTTATGGAGAAGACTATCAGGGCCAGCAAGAATATGATTTCCAAAGCAAGTTGACACAAGAAAGCATAAGGGTACTTCAAGGGCCAGTCAGCATCACCCAGGGCAAAGTCATACTGAAAACCATCCTAGTCACCTCCCCATGCCATCTGCTTTTCTTCGTTTTAACAGCAGACAACTCAACCTAGTTGCCAAGCAGGTTTGCAGAACATGCAAAAATGTAACAATGGGAAAGAAGGATTTAAAAAGCATCTGGAGGTGACAAAAGCCTTTCTGTCCTTTTGGGCTGTCAAGCATTACCTGAAATTAGTACCAGGAGGAGGTCATCTGCTGTGAGACTCTTGGCTAATTCCAAGATGGCCCTGGCAGCCTCCAAAGCTTCTTTATCAGGAAGGTTGTCTCTCGCGCCTTCCAGGACTTGGATTCGGCTGCGTGGCTTCAGCAACATTTCCCTGCAGCATTTTTTTCCCAAAAAGAGCCATTTATTAGCTGAGCTTTGTACTTCTGAAACTCATGATATTTAAAACTTCTTAAACAGATGGCCAGCCAGTATAATTAATGTGATAATGAAAGGAAAACAAAGGAATATTGATCACCTACAATTCTAAGGAGCAACTCAAAACATCAGGTTGGCTTCTGTGTTTTTCTCAGGGTAAGTAAAAATAGGAAGTATCTCCATAGCTCTGTCCAAGTACCTAGTACTTGCAGTAGGAAAGCAGATCACAACTGAGATTTAAGATACACCAAGCCAAGGAGGACTCAAGATAGGATTCTTGAAGCTGGCTTCCAAGACAGATTTTGTATGTCATCTCCATAAAAGGTGGCCGTCTTCCTTACCTCATTCCTGCATGTCGCAGAGTTTCTTGGATGCCTTGAGGAACACTGATTATTCCCTGAGTGAGGTAGCCTCCGAGGATGTCCTCAGCCACTGCTGCCATGCCCAGAACAGCTTTTCCAAAGCCAACCAGGTATAGATTTTTCTTCAGTTCAAAAGGACGGCCATGTAGCAAAAGTCTGGGGCATCCACCTGGTTGTAGCACCAAGGCCCTTTTCAGTATCGGCCCCGGCAGGACTGTATCCACAGCACTGCGGAAGAAATGTAGCCCATGGTCCTTGAGAGTCATTTTGAGAGAGGGTATTTCACTCGTGAAACTAAAATTGGGCCGCCAACAGTTTTTGCCAGTGATTGGCAAGCTTTTGAAAACAGAAACCATGCCCCGAATCCACCAGGAATAAGCGATGATTAATATCCTGAAAAAAGCGGATGATTAAGTTAGTGATTAAGGATATCTGGCGAGTTGCTTTTCACTCCCAGAATATATGTTTTATAGAAACTTTGCTTGTCATGAGCTTTCTTTTTTTCCTCACCCTCCTGTGCTTTTGTTCTCTGGGAAGGTCCAGAGGTCTTTTTATACACCCAATTTGATAGATCAAATGGGAAGGTTAATAATTTGCCAGCAAGAATTTTTTGAAAACAATCTACTTGGCATTTAGGGAATGGGAAAAAACCACGGTTAGTTAAGCAACATAATATTGAAAAAGAAACATATACCACATATTGTCTTTTCCTCCCTCCCCCCAAAAATGTAGAATACAGACTAAATTACTGATTACAAAACAATAAAACTTCAAAGATGGATATTTTGTGAAGCTAGGGTTCCAAAATAAGAAGCTCCAAAGAATTACTTAAAAGTTCTCAGGAAAACATGCTGGGTTGGGGGAGAAGGGTCAGGAGGAGAGAGGGAGGGAGGAGGAACAGGAGGAACAGGAGGAGGAGAGAGAAAAACACAGAGAGAGAGACAGAGGGAAAGTGATCTATTGTTTAAGGCTACAAACCAGGAGGCTGTGAGTCTTGCACATGAAAGCCAGCTGGGTGATTTTGGGCAGTCACTTTCTCTCTGCCTAACCCACCTCACAGGGGTGTATTGTGTTTGAGTTATTTATAAAAAAAAAATAAAGGTGGAATATAAATAAATAAGAGAATGAATCTTTTTTTCTCCATCTGTGAGATTACCTCACCCATAAGGATTTTCTATGCAGTCATGCAATAGTGTCAATAAGAGCATCAGATAGTGAGAAAGGTCTTAACCCAAGAGTGAGAGATATTGATGGTGATGAAACAATGAATGTACCAATTTCTCCTTACATACTAAACATGAAAGAAAAATCTCCAACTCTTAAGAATCAACCTAATGATCAAGAAATTTAGCCTCATGACTCATTATCTGACCACTGACTCTCAGAAGTAGTGTTTGGGGAAGGCCCCAACACACTGATCCCACCTGGTCCCTGGGAGAATTCTGCCTCCAGCTCATCAGTTCTGCCGTCTGTTGGCATCTTAGAACGTTGGAGATGTTACTTTGCACTCAAGTCTTTTGAGTATATGGAATCCAAATTTCTAAACTGTCCTTCAAATGAGTTTTGAGATTTAGACATCCTGAATTCTGTGATATTTGGATCCATCTCATTGGCTTTCCAGGGGCCCTGATAAAACTCCCAAGAGTCTTTGCAAAACTGTTATCTTTTTGGATCTTCCAACCACATATATGTGCTTATGTGCGCACACACACACACACACACACTTTCTATGTTATATACCAGTTAATTTATGTTCAAAGATGCCAACAGATGGCAGAACTGATGAGTTACAAGCTCTGACATGTTCTTCAGCATCTGTTCTTTCACTTCAATTGATAGCAAGTTGCTTTGAGAAAATATTGTGTTTCTATTATTTGTGAAATGTAAGCTTGCAATGAGCACTCATCAATGCACACTGAGGCACTGAAAAGGTGCAGAGAAGAGCAACTAAGATGATTAGGAGACTGGGCTAGGGGAGATATGATAATAGTGTTCCAGTATTTGACGAGCTGCCACAAAGATGAGGGGGGCAAACTATTTTCCAAAGCACCGGAACGCAAGACAAGAACCAATGGATGGAAACTAATCAAGGAAAGAAGCAAGCTAGAACCAAGGAGAAATTTCCTAACAGTGAGAACAATTAACCAGTCAAATGACTTGCCTTCCAAAGTTGTGAATGCCTCATCATTGGAGGCTTTCAAGAAGAAATTGGACATCCATTTGTCTAAAACAATATAGACTTTCCTGTTCGAGCAGGGGGTTAGACTAAATGACCTACAAGGTCCCTTCCAACTCTGTTATTCTATTAATTGATTATTTAATTATTCTATTCTCACATTAAGCAATGTGCTGTGATTAATTTTTTTTACTGCCAAAGGAGACCCCTTCAATTGAAATTTTATAGATTTCTGATTTTAGGATTAGATTTGTTTTATATAACAATTTTATTAAACATTATGAATTCTGATACAGTAACTGGTTTGAGAATTGATCTGATGATGTAGATTCTTATGTTGAAATGACAGAAATAAAAGACACGCCTCAGCAGGCTTCCAGGCTCATGAAGACCTTGTGAAAGCATCAAGAAAACCTTGTTAAAGAAAACACAGAGCTTGAGGATGTGCGCGTCAGGAAGTGTGAACTTCTTGCCTTATCCACTATGCGCTGTTTCCTGCTTATGTAACCACATAAAACTAAGAAAACTATATAAACTTGCATTTGAGGTTCATCCAGCCTTACGGGGAGGACCCACTTTTGTCCAGGCCTAGAAAAACATGTGATAGGAAGAGAATTTGGATTCTACCTTTTTGTTCGTGCCAAGCCACACATGATTCCCTGCATAACAATTTCAGTTAAAAAGATAAAAACTAATGTAAACTAAAAAAAGAAAAAAAATAAAATACAGAAAAAAGAAAACAATAGAAAAGAAAGAGTAACAATAAAGAAAATGAAAAGAAATATATAATGCAATGACTTCTTCCTTCATCACAAATATAAACAATTTTCATAACTTCTCTAAAAATACAATAAATGATTTCTTTTTCCCATATCTAATCTCTTATCTATAAACAAAACCTTGTCATTCAATTCTGGTCAGCAAGTTACCAGAGATAAAAATCTATTTTAATTAACTTTGATCAAAGAAACCAAGTTTATATTGCTTCCTTTTGCTTTTAACAATCTTTGATCCCTTCAAATACTGTCCTAAAACTTGATTTCTTTTTTTTCATTGTCCCTCCTTACAAAATCTTTCAAACTTTTAAGAAATTTGTTTTGTAAATCCAATATAGGAAAGTTATCCAGTTATCCTCTTTTGATTTGTTATTTGTATATCCCTTTTAATTATTAAGACACCAGCTGGTTTCATTTGTATATCCAGCATCTTTTTTCATATCATTCTGTTGCAAAGGTTGGTAATAGCTAAAAAGTAATTAAGAAGCAATTTCTGAAAGTGATTAAGAAATTACTCTCAGCAACCTTATGTCCATATAGGCTGCATAAAGCAATGAGCTTGATTGAAATCTCTTGAACCCAGCGGTTCAACTCATGAACTGAGCACCACAGTTGTTAAGTGATTCACTGCAGCTGATAAGTTAGCAACCCAGTTGTGAAATGAATTTTACTTCCCCATTGACTTTGCTTACCAGAATGTCGCAAAAGGTAACCACGTGACCTTAGGAGACAGCAGTGGTCATAAGTATGAGTCAGTTGCCAAGCATCTAAATCTTGTTCAGAGGACCATGGGGCTGCTACAAAGGTTGTAAGTATGAAAAATGGTCACAAGTCACTTTTTTAGGGCTGTTGTAACTTTGAATGGTCACTAAATGAACTGTTGTAAGTCAAGGACTACCTGTATTAAAGAGTGAAAAATAAAATAAAACCATGAAATTATTTAATTTCTACATAATGTTTTCTCATAAATGTGGCTAACCTGAGGTAATAAATCCTTTTCTATTCTTTTCTGCTATTACTGATCCAGTGCTGGCAATAGTACAATAATCAAATGCCATCCGGCTATATATGCAGCTGAAGGAAATAAATCCTCCACTGCACTTAAAAGTTTTCCCTATGTTCTTGAGTTGTTTTGTCTACTTTAATCTGCCACATTTTGGCCAAGAGCCTGATGTTTTCATTCCCACTGACAAGCAAGGTCACAAGCGTATCAGGGATGGCACTAGGATCTCAGAGCCACAAGGGCTTCCCTGCCACCTTTCACTTCTGAACAACAGAACAGACCAAAAGGGGAATAATTTATTCTCTGCACTGAAATTAGGACTTTTGAGGCAAGAGGTATGGCTAGCCGGATGGAAATGAAATTTCTTCTACTTGTTCTGTTTTCACTTGATCGTAGCAGCTGCTCAGAAAGTGATCCAGAAGCCATCATTAATCTTGGCAGATCAGCTGAGAATTGCATCTTCTATGACAGCATTGCTCTGGGACTGCGAAGAGCTTAGATTAATCTCTTTTAAATGAAAACTTCATAAGCTGTCATTAATGAAAACTGGTCCTAATCTGCATATTAATTTGAATAAATCATCCCAACATGTTCCTCTGATGGTTCCTTGTGACTCTTGTTTAGTTTTCAGTGTATGAAAATGGAAGTAACTTTTAATTTCTCATTAATTCCACAGAGTGGCATACCAAAAGCATTCTAAAATAAATAACTGAATCAGAGAACAAGTAAATAACACATAGTATACTTACAAGAATAATTTTTTAAAAATTGAATTAATCAAGGTGGTCTACAAAATCACTGAATAATGACATCATTTAACACCAACCTCTGCAAAGAAAGGTAGTTAAGCCGGGGGTTGGGGTGGGGGAGAGGAGAGGAGAGGAGAGGAGAGGAGAGGAGACACACACACCCGCTGCAAATACTGGATCTGACCCTGAGCCCCAACTATGTCTAAAGAATCCCACAGAAAGGATCATATAGGTCAGGACAGCCAATCTCAAAGCTCCTGTTCCTACAAGTCCATCATTTCTCCCCAGTTTAGAGGGAGGCACTCGATGGGAGAACAAGTAACTGGATATAGTTTGTCCTGATGTTACCTAGTTTGGGTAATGAAACATCTGCGAGAAAACAACCAAGACCCATCGTAGTTTGTCCTGTTGGAAATCATCACCTTCTCGCACACAAGCTCATTACAGGCAGTTCCTGATACTCAACACATCAGGCAGTGGAGAGAAAAAAATGGAAATCAGAGATCAGTTTGCCAGGTTGAAAAAAACCCCACAAGAGCCCAGTCAGCCTAATTCCGTTGCTTGTGAGTTGCCGAAAGGTACACCATAAAGCAGCTCATTCTCTCTGAAGATGCCAGCCTGAAAACACCAGATGCTGGCCAAAGGTCAGACAAAAGAAATCCGGACTACAGCAATTCAGTTCAGATGTTCATTGATACCAGCCATTGAAGTTTACATCAGTATATTAAACAAAATTTCTCTTCAGGAACTGTTATTCTGTTAACTTACCACTACACAAAAAAAAAATCCTTACAATGTTCCAGCTGTCAGAATAAGGTATGGAATATTTACCCAGCAGGTCATAAAAAGGAGATTTTGCAAATGACACATAAGAGAAAAATGAGTTTAAATTCAGAAATGGAAGCGCTGAGACTGCCTGTAACCTTCCCAACCTATCATTTAAAGTGGTAAAGAGAGGCAATATTTTCATAGCTGTGCCTTCTTTGATTATATTTTGAAGTAATTTTCCCATCCATTTTGGAGCTTTTTAATACAGACAGGGTAAGAGAAAAGAGCTTAGAGGGAGGGAAACAACATAAAGAACCGGAATGGAGCAAGAAAAGAAATTAAATATTTTATCAATTTAGAATTTAGAGTCAGTTTGTAGGGGAGATGGACAGTGTAGAAATTAAACAAACAAATAAATGTATGCCAACATTACTCTGGTTCCCAAAATGCTCTCCCACTCCCTGAAAACTCATGGCAGTTTCCTATTATTTTGTAAAATATAATTGTCATATTAACCTTAGAAAAAGAATGATTTAAGTCATGCTCAACTCTTACTGGCTACATGAACAAATCTGTGGCAGCAATACAGAAGTGATTTGCCACTTGCCTGGGATTTCATTTTTACTTCTTAGTCTACTAGCCTACAGCCCTAGTATTCTCTGGAGGTCTGCCATCTAAGCAGTAATTCAGGCCAAGTATTTTCTTTTCTGAGATCAAGCAAGTCTGACAAAGTGCTGCCGTCTGCTGTAGGCACCAAATAAGCACATTTTTTAAAAAAGTAACACCTCTGCACAAAGTCAAAGGAAAGAAAGAAAAAAAGCTTCAGCCACACTGCAGATGTTCAGCTACTGTCAGTTACCAAACATTTTTGCTCTCTCCCTCCTTGTTATGTACCAATCTTTCCAAGTCTGATCTACTTCTAGTAGTGAGGACTTCAACTCCAAAATTTCATTATCAGCATCCCTATTATGGAGATTTATGGCTGCTAAATGAAGGCAGGCAAAACAATGGAAAGAAGAGGGCAATGGGCGAAAATACAACACTGAGACTTATTCTAGCTTAGAAGCCTTTCAAATAGTAAAAAAAGAAAGAAATCTGCAAAGGTTAAATTATCACAAATTGCAGATAGTCCTTGAGTCAATGGGGAAGCCAGATTCACTTTACAACCATGTTGCTAACTTAACTGTAGTGATTCACTTAGCAACCCTGACAAGAAAGGTCATAAATTGGAGAAAAGTCACTTAATAACTGTCTCACTTAGCAACAGAAATTTTGGGCTCAATTGTGATCATTCAATCAAGCGCTACCATTATTAGCACATCTAAAAGAAAACTTAGATTGTCACTGAATGGCATTGTTGAGGGGGTCACAATCAAAAAAGGCTACTGCAATTAAGTTCCGCTTTCCAGCAATTCAGTATTTGCTTAATTACTATGAAAGCTACACTTACTGTTCTTACAGCTATAGCAACTGCACTTGTGAGTGGAAGATAAACATTTTTGTGATATTATTACTTGGAAAGAGAACAATTCATTTATGGAACCATGCCAGGTTGAGACTAATCTAGAAACAGTCCCAAACTACAAATTAGGCCCTCCAAAAGAAGACAAATGACACATGAGAGCAGATGGACTGACCAGATAATTTACCAACAGCAAGTAAAAAAAATTGCATTTCAACTCATCTCAGTGCACAACAATGAATTTGTTACTATTTCTTACAAAGTTTACTTCAGAACTGGAAAGACAGAGCCTGATGTAGTGAAAACTAGGAGTAATCTCAAGCCTCTCCTTTAGAAGATACCGGTAGGTAATATAATTTGAAGTATTTTAATTTAGGAAAAAATGACCATGGGGAATTCCATAAAAGTGTGTAAAGTGATGCATGCACAACAGTCATTTGACTATTATTGGGTAAGTTTTATAAATAAATAAAATATAGTCAGATGCTACATTTCCTCTTCTAATATTAGAATACGTGGATCATCCAAGGAGGCTTAGAAAGTAGAACCACAGAACTTTTGATAACTCAAGATTTCAGGAGACACAACTGAGGCATTTCCATACCCATTAGTCTAGACTAGCAGCCCCCAACCTTTTGGGCACCAGGAATTGGTTCTGTGTAGAGGTTTTTCTGCAAACCAAGGGGGCATAATTTTGTGTGCTCCATCCCTCGGAAGGAGCTTCGCTTGTTTGCGCAGACCAGTTTCTGGCATGCTGCAGTCCAGTGCCAGTACAAGGACCGGAGGTAAGAGCTATTATGTACTTGACCCTTAGAAAATTGTTGTATGCATAGACTTTGCTTAACTGTGTTTGATATTTACTATTTATTATTACATGACCTTCCATTCACTAGCCAGAGCGTTAACACTGGAAATTTAAGATTTTTTTTATAAAGCAACGTTTTTGCATGGTATACAAAGCTTTTATGATTTTTAATATTTTTAACAATTACATAGTGGTTTTATATAACTATTTTGTATTTATTTTAGTGGATTGTTTACTGCCTAGAGTAATTTTCCATGAGATGGGCAGTCAGAATCTTCTCTCCATACAGTGCTTTGAAAGGCATGCCTTCTCCTAGTGCTTCTCAAATATGACAAACTTTCTTGATGAGGGTAAAAGTGGAGAGTGCAAAAGTTGGCTTGAAACTCAACCTTAAAAAAACTAAGACCATGGTATCCAGCCCCATCACTTCCTACCAAATAGAAGGGGAAGAAATGGAAACAGTGACATATTTTATTTTCTTGGCTTCCAAGATCTCTGCAGCCATGGTGCCTCCAGCCATGAAATTAAAACAAGCTTGCTCCTTGGGAGGAAAGCTATGGTAAACTTAGACAGCATAATAAAAAGCAGAGAATCTTACCAATAAATGTCCATAGAGTCAAAGCTATGGTTTTCCCAGATGTAATGTATGGCTGTGAGAGCTGGAAAACTGAGCACCAAAAGAACTGACGCTTTTGAATTGTGGTACTTGGACTTCAAGGAGAGCAAATCAGTCAGTGCTAAAGGAAACCAACCGATTGTCCTTTGGAAGGACAGATACATAAGTTGAAGCTCCAATACTTTGGCCACCAAATGAGAAGAGAGGACTCATTGGAAAAAGACCCTGATGTTGGTCAAGATAGAAGGCAAAAGGAGAAGAGGACAGCAGAGGATGAGATGGCTAGATAGTATCACAGACTCAACAAACATGTATTTGGGGAAACCCTGAATTTAGGAATAATTTGGGAACTCCGAAAACATGAATTTGGGAAGACCGTGGAGGACAGGGGCGCCTGGTGTGCTGTGTGGTCCATGGGATCACGAAGAGTCGGATACACAACCTGGCGACTGAACAAGCAACTGAGACTTCAACACCCAGAATCCCCCCATCCAGTTTATGAAATCAAAGCATCTTTAAATTGACAAATTTGAGAGACAGGGTACCGCATAGCAGGCCATGCAGAGACTCACTCTCTCCAAAAAGAGTAGAATGAGACAAGGTTTCCAACCCAGGGTAGGGATGCAATCACCACAACAATAGTCCCGCCTATTAGTATTAGTACTGTGTTTCCCCGAAAATAAGAGCCTGTCTTATATTTTTTTGAACCCTGAAATAAGTGCTGGGCCTTATTGCCATGCGCTCAAAAGCCCGATTGGGCTTATTATCAGGGGATGTCTTATTGGGGTTATTATCAGGGGATGTCTTATTGGGGAAAACAGGGTAGCAGTGTTGTGGAATGATGAGACCAAACAACATTCCTGGGTCAGCCAGAGACAGTTTTATTGCGCAAGGTTCAGAGCCAGTTTTGTACCTGAAGCTTTGAGCAACCAAAGAACTCTGATGAAGACTTCCGGTTGGCACCGCAGGCTTCATGGACGGTCTCCTTAGACAGCCAGCCCTGCGACTTCATAAAAGCCACTTTGACAGCGCAAATCGGCTGTCTGGCGGCTAAAAAACCTCCCCTTTGGGAGAAGAAGGAGAGGAGAGCCAGTGGGTGAGAGTTGAGCTCCCCAAAAGTCCTCTGGAATAATTCCAGAGGCTTGGAGGGTGAGAGCTCCCCAGTCAGCCCGCCAAGAAGCTCCGAATCCGGGACAACTCTGTGCAAACAGAGCTAGAAGCCGCGACCAATCCTGCTGTCAAAAGTGAGTTTGATTGATTACAAGCGCAGGCAGAGCGGAAACAGGAGAACAAGCCGTAAAGCTTAACTCTGGACTTACATTGTTTCAAATTGAATTTCTTTGAGCTGGAGTCAGAAGCGAAAGTGCTTATTGAGAACTTTCTGTGAGAGTGGATTAAAGCTGCTGGAATTGAGAGCTTGTGGAGAAGAGACTATTTTGCTTGATAAATTAGAGACTATAATTTACAAACTTTTCAAAATTGTTCAAGGGACTCTGTGGCTTTGAAAGGAAAAAAGATCTTTTTTAAAAAAAAATGGCTTCTAAACAAGTTAAGCCAAGAGTTGTTAAAGGAGGGGGAGGTTCTCCAGTTGTGTCAGTGGTGACACAGAAAGCACAACTTCCGGCTGATTCACAGTCAGGAGGCTGCTCTTAATGATTTCAAAGAATTTATGAAAGAAGCCATGAATAATCAAGCTACAGCAATGAAAGAAGCTATGAATAATCAAGCTACAGCAATGAATAACTTAACAGTACTTGTGGAAGGGAAATTAAAGAAAGTTGAGGAGGATATAAAGTCAATTAAATAAGTCGTTGCAATAAAGCAAATTTACTCCTCAATTGTTTCTACTGGGTATAATGACGGATTGTACAGTATTAGAGACTAAACTGATTTTGAATTTAATATCAGCAGCTAGGCTGTTGGTAGCGCAATATTGGAAGAAGGACTCTTTGCCTACTATTGAAGAATGGACACTGAAAGTAGCGAATTTAGCGGAAATGGCGAAAATTTCAGCATATTTGAAGGACTATACACAAGAAAGATACATATTGGAATGGAGAAAATGGATTGATTATATTCAAAATAAGTATCAGACAAGAAAATATCAAATAGTTTATGAATGAATGTTAAACTTCAGAAGTATTATCTTATCAATAGTGGAGTTAAGGTTTGGGGGGGGGGATTTGGCAGTTTAAGAATAGTTAGGTTAATTTAGCATATGATTGTTAAACAGAAATACCCTGTATTTTGTTCTGGGAAGTCTGGGTGGGTGGGTGGGATGGGAGGGGGGAACGGGTGTGGGGGTGGAGGGGAGGGAACTGGGGGGGAATTTTCTTTGTAAAACTTTTCAATAAAAAAAAAGAACTCTCATGAACAGTTTTTATACATTTCTAAGACAAAGGATTCGGTGAGATCATGCATTTCCCATATATGGGTAACATGAGATCATACATTCTCCACATATGGCCAACACACACCTGTCATATGATAATTGACACACTTCCTAATTAATAAACCATTAGTAAACCATTATTTTTAGTTTATAAAATTATCTTAGCTACACAACTTTTCTTAAGTGCTTGTAGTTGTTAATGGGAGAGTTACTGCTGTCCTTGGGTAAGTTTATTGGATTAACTCTTTGTAACATATAGGTCTTTGTGTCATTCACAGTGAGGTCACTCAGATGTTTTCCATATGGCTGTCCTTCCGTGACATCTAGGTTTCATCAGAAGATATATTACCACTTAATGAAGTTTAACTGTTAATGTAATTTCCAACAAGCACTTTCCTCTCTTAATGTGAATAGAGAGGTTCTCTCAGAGTTCATGTATCTAAGCACGTCTTCCCCTTATAATAATGTGAATAGAGAGGGTCCTTTAGAGCTCATATATCTGACTCTGTATGATTCCTTTCTTTTATCCACATTAGTAGCAGTAGTAGTAGTGCTGCAGAGGTCTTCAAACTTGGCAGCTTTAAGACTTCAACTCCCAGAATTCTCCAGCCAGCATACCTTCAGCTCCAGGTATGCTGGCTGGAGAATTCTGGGAGTTGAAGTCCACAAGTCTTAAAGCTGCCGAGTTTGGGGACCCCTGTACTAGAGTATCGTTAGATCCCACAATCGGTTGCGCGCGCTTTCAGCCTCTTTCCCCCCGCCCCACCCCCCCGCCCCCACCGCGCGCTAAAATACTCCTCGCAAGCCTCGGGCCTTACTCGAGTATCCCAGCATGCACCAGACCGGTAGCGTCTCCGTCGCTGCTCCTTTTCGTCGCTTCTATTTCCTCCGGCGGCCCACAATCCTACGCGTGCCGACACCGCCGACACCACCGCCACCCCCCGTCTCTCCGCCGCCCTTAAAGCCGCAAAATGGCGGACACAATGAGCCGGAATTGCCGCCCCCGCCTCCTCCTTCTCGCAGCGTGAGTGGAATCCGCCCGAGGGCAAAATCGCTTCGCTCCTTCGCCGGCTCGGCTTTCTTTTCCCGCCTTTCCCGTCCCCCACTCCCCCGCCGCAGGCTTAGTCCTGCCCGACCGACTCCGCTTCACCTCTCAGCCTTGTCCGGCGCGCAGGCCCCGCTGGCTCCCTTTCCCCGTGACGGAGGCGGCGGAGGCGGCATGAAGCTGACGGACAACGTGCTGCGGAGCTTCCGCGTGGCCAAGGTGTTCCGCGAGAACTCGGACAAGATCAACTGCTTCGATTTCAGCCCCAATGGCGAGACCGTCATCTCCAGCAGCGACGACGACTCCATCGTGCTCTACGACTGCCAGGAGGGAAAGTGAGTGGCGGGGTTTGTGTGTGGGAGAGAGGATGCGAGGAGTTCTTCGCGGGAAAAAAAGAGGCCATGTACAGCAGGCCTTTGTGGATTGAGGGAGGCGGGACGTGGATCCCGAAGCAGAGAAGCGGCTTTTCTTTCCATCCATCCAAAGCCCAAGGCCACAAAGAGCGGCTCCTTTGAGCTTTTAAACGGTGTGTGGGGGGGAGGGGGAAGCGGGGGGTGGGTGGGGAGAGAGAGAGAGAGAGACGTTGCTTTTTTAGGTGGATGCTCAGGTGCATCTCTGAGGCTTTGCGTTGCAGGGACAAGGTCTGAAAGCAGAAGAAACCAGGGACAATTATTATTATTATTATTATTATTATTATTATTATTATTATTATTATTATTATTATCATCATCATCATCATCATCATCATCATCATCATCATCATCATCATCATCATCATCATCATCATCATCATTATCATTATTATCATCTCGCTCTGGAAAAAGATGTGCTTATAAGCCTTAAGTTAAACATACCCTTTTTAAACTCTTTTTTTTTAAAAAAAAAATTATTATAAACTGAAGACAAAAAAAAAACCCAAAAAGAAGACAATAACAAAACAAAATCACATACATAAAACTAGGGTTGATTCAACCCCCATATACATACAGTTCCTAAGTAACATCACATACCATCATACTACATCTTCGATTAAATTTTCCACATTGCATCTTACACTTGTTAATCTTCTTGCATCTAGTATTACCGTATATATATATTTAGCTTAGTATCAACAAATCTATATGCTTTCCTAACATCTACCTCATGGCATTTTTACTTCTATCCATTTGGACCATTTATCCCAGCTTTGGTTGAAAGTTGATTCTTGTCTATCTTTAAGAGTGTATGTTATTCCGCACACCACAAAAATTTTTTAATAATCATCTGCTCCGATGGTACTTCTTTCCCTTTCCAAAATTGCGCATATGCAATTCTAGCCGCAGTGGTAACATGTATAAAAAGGTGCCAGTCTATTTTTCTTATTCCCCCAGGATTTATTCCTAATAAGTAGACCTCTGGTCTCAGTTGAAATACTCTGGTTTCTCTTCAGATCGTATAAATCTTTCGCCTTTTACCCTTCTTAAACTCTTGTTCATGTTCGTATTCCGCTAAATTGGGATTTTAGTCATTCTAACCCAGAATGTATATTTTTAAATATATGAAAGGCACCTCCGTTTAAAACTTCTGTCCATCATTAGGAGGGTGCTGACTTTCAATTTTTGTAGCGGCTTTCATCGAGTCTTTCAGTTGTGTAGACTTGTAAATAAATAGAATGGTATAAAATATCAATGAGTCTCCTGTGGCAGCATCCCAAAAGCTCTCAAATCTAGGTCAGGACTGTCCTCTTAAATTTCTCACCATTGCAAGAAGTGTTATTTATTTTGTATTTGTATGTAAACTGCCCAGAGTCACTTAGCAAAATGGGCAGTGTGTGCATTTGGTAATCAAACGTAGGCTGTATCGGACAGTATTATACTGGTGGGGAACTTAGGTTACAGTTTGCAAGAATATTTATAGATATACTGTGAATAGTTTGAGACACTATTCAAAAACATATTCACTTTAGGATTAATAGTGAAGTATGAAGTGGCCTTAACTATGAGAGATGCTTGGTGCTCTCTGAGCTTGGTTATTTTCTTGCAGAAATTTCATTATCCAAAGTACTGTAGGTAACATCATTGGTGCTAGTAAGGAAAGGGGTTTGCTCTCAGTTTATATGCTAGTCTAGTGGCTTGCCCTGTCAGTGTTACTGGGAGTGATCTTGGTGATTATTCTTTTGGGATGTTTATTGTTAGCTTGCTTGACAGTTCCTTGATTGGAGTATTGTTTACTTCTTGACTGCAGGTCTGGTGTTAATCTTGGTATTAATCTATGCTCATCTGGGTTGTGGTGAGGTTGTGTTCTGGTCTTTATGTTTCCTTTTTCACTTGTCTCTTTTGAAAGGTATGTAGATGTTGTTTATTTCTATGTGCCTGTTGATGGCCAATTTGTCGGGAGAGCCAGGCTTCCAGGAACTCTCTGGCATTTTTCACTTAAGTTGGTCTAGGATAGGTGTCAGCAACCCGTGGCTTCAGAGCCGCATGCGGCTCTTTCGTCCCCCTGCTGTGGCTCCCTGTCAGCTGAACCCACCACTGACTGGCCGCGCCACTTGCCCTTGCCTCCCAGTCACTCCTCGCCTGCCCTGAGGGAGTAAGGGTGACAGTGGGGTATGGAGACTTGCTCCATATTCCAGAGTGAGGCGTGTCTCTGCCCCAAGACACTGGTCCAGCCTGGCTGTGGCCGATGTCGCTGCTTTCACCACCTCCATAGCCTGCCCGCTGCTTTCACAGCACAGTTAAATTTAGCATGCTTCACAATGGGGGAGATGGTGTCCCCCCCTCCTCATGGAGCCCATTATGACATGGAGCATTAGCTGCAGCCGGGCCAGGCCAGTGTCTCGGGGTGGAGAGCTTTTCAGGCCAGGCAAGGAGTGACTGGGAGGGGAGGGCGAGAGGCGGGACCAGCCGATGGTGGGTTCAGCCGACAGGGAGCTTATAGCAGGGGGACGAAAAGCTTCATTTATCTGGGAACCTGAAATGACTCTTGATTTAAATCATATAGTAAAAAGCACCCCAAAAAAGAAGAAAGAACAACAGTAAAAAAAAACAAAAAACCAACCCTCGCCTGTTTTTGGAAATGGTTCAAGAGGGAACACACACACACACACACACGAGAGAGAGAGACAGAGAGAGATGAGAGAGAGACAGAAAAAGAGAGGGAGAAAGAATGAGAGAGACAGAGAGAGGGAGGGAGAAAGAGAGAGATGACAGAGAGAAAGAGACAGGGAGTGAGAGAGACAGAGAGAGAGAGATACCTGTTTCCCCACAGAAAAGAAAGCACCGGGAGCCACAAAACCTGGGTAGGCGTGGCTGGGGGGAGTCATGTGACTGGGTGAGAGTGAGTGATATCGAGTTGGCCATGCCCACCCAGGTTTTGTGGCTCCCAGTGTTTTCTTTTCTGTGGGAAACGGGTCCAAATGGCTCTTTGAGTGTTTAAGGTTGCAGACTCCTGGTCTAGGATGGTCACAGTTTCCCAGTTGAAACTGTGGTTAAGTCTGTTCATAGGTTGTGAAATGATCAGGGTGGATAAAAATCAATGATTTTTTTTAAAAAATCAAAAAAATCAGATTTTTTTTATTTAAATCGGATTTTTTTTATTTTTATCTAATTTATTTTAATAAAAAACTTTGGGGGTAAAAATCTATTGTAAGATAGTTTTCTATTTAAGATACATAAATAATTTAGTTTATTCAGCATGAAATGGAGCTTAGTTATGTAGCATGAGGCTGTATATTCTGCAACACTGGGATTATCGGTGAGTCAACAGTGGGTCAAAGGAGTAGCAGAGATGACAGTTGCTCTTTAAAAATTATGATTTAAATCGAGTTGATTTAAATCAAGCCTTTTTACTAGTGATTTAAATCATGATTTAAATTGTGATTTAAATCAACTCGATTTAAATCAAATCCACCCTGGAAATGATGGAGTTCTCATTGTGTCTCATGGATGCGTTCTGCTAGTCTTTTGGTATCCTAGTTTGGGTAAGGAAATATCTGCAAGAAAACAGCCAAGCTCAGAAAGCACCAAGAAATCATTTCACCTCTGAGCTACAAATATTTTCCTTTATGACCTTAGCTAATTTAGTAATCACACCAGGCAATTATTTGCTAACTGACCATACTTTCACTGCTATGAACCAATAGAAATGAAATTGTAGCTGTAATTACTTCAAGAACTGCGCTATATTTATTTTTCTGTATAGCTGGGACTCAATGATGGGGATCATTATTGCAAATGCAGTTTCATATTAGTGGATTTTAATGAAGTGGATAGTGAAGTTGGAGATAGATATTGTCTGTTTTTTTATAATTAGACATAGAGTTTACATTTGCTGTAAACTATCAGTGTTATCTTGTCCCAAATCCAAAACCTTATCTGTCACCAAAGTATTTGACCTTCATGCTTGCCAGGCATTTTTCAATTTTTGAGCATGAGGCTGAACTTCTCAGTTCCTTAAATAAGAATAAGCAAATTTGTTAAATCTTCAAACTTATAATGAATTGCTAATTCTTATTTAAATAGGTACTGTATCATCTCAAGTAAATGTTATTGATAATTAGTTTGAATGCAGTTTAACATATAAAACAAAAAGAAGACCGGTTGAATATCAGGGAAAATATCCAGAAATCCTTTGTTGGTTAACTTTCAAGATTTCATGACCCTTTTATTAACTTAGATGGCTTAAAATCTAAAATAATGGTAGTGGTGGGATGTGATTTTTGTTTTTTCTGCACCATCTTATACTCTTAAATGGGGTTTTGGATAGCTTGCAGAGAAATGATGTGTTTTTCACCTTTCAGCCAAGAAAAATAGCTTTACTTCAGCTACTTTTCTGGTAACAGGAACAAATATTTCTTGCCAGGCACTAAAATCCACACAGTTCCTATCACTTTGACCTTCCAAAAAGCTTTAAAGAATTGGCTTTTCTCCCAAGCATTGGGATGGAGTAAGGCTGGAGCCCAGTGATTCTGACTGTTTATGCATAAGGGAGTGCTGCTTAGAGCGCCAGAAGTTGTTTTATGGATGCTGGTTTTCATTGCTTCTTTTATGTTTTTATTGCTGTTGGAGTGAGTTGCCCACAGTTATTGCTGTTCGGACAAGCAGGCATATGCCTCATAAATACATAAATATCATCTTAGAACTGAAACCTTGTGCAAACATAGTATCAATACTAACCACATTGTTAACCCTCTCCTTTGTCACTGTTAAAATTGCATCCTGTTTTATTTATTTATGTTTCATATTTCTAAACTGCTCATCTCTCTCAAAGAGGAGCTTTTTTGCTGTGCGCCAGTCTAGGGAGCAACATAGGTTATAATTCAATAATAGTACTACCAATATGTTTAGAAATAAAATACAATTAGTCCTGGATTTTATTTCAAATTTAAAAGTTTAGTTAAATGTTATCATTAAAGTGACCAGCATTTTCCAAGTTAGACTATATCAAAGAGCTTGTTATAGTTCCCTAAATATTTGGGTTAAAAAGAGGGGTGCTTCCAGCTCTTCTTCTAATTTGTGGAAAGCTAATCATAAAAAACAACAGACTATTCTTTCATTTTGTGTCTGTAGCACCTCCATGCCTTGCAAGGTATTACATCTAGACTTACATGAAAGGACTAAATTTAAATTATAAATTTAAATCACCATTTATAACCTTCCCAGCCAGGTTCCAACACAAAGTCAATGGGGAAACGCCAGATTCATTTAATGACCACATGCTTCACTTCAAAACTGCACTGACAAAAAAAGCCATAAATGGGGCAAAACTCATTTAATAACTGCCTTGATTAGCAATGGAAATTTGGGGCTCAATTATGGTCATTAAGTCAAGGACTACCTGTATGGCAAAATGGAATTTCTCTATAATATTTTTTTCCCCTTGGCAGGCCCAAGAGAACACTTTATAGTAAAAAATATGGAGTTGATCTCATCAGATACACTCATGCTGCCAACACGGTTGTATACAGTTCCAATAAAATAGATGGTAAGTGAGCCATTCTTCCTGATATTGCCTATGCATATTGGATGTTTTAACACTTTAATAAGTATTAAAGATTTAAGAAGACTGATTTTGATTGAAATTAATAGTGTATTCATTGAAGCTGTTACTTGATAATGTAATGTTTCTTAATTTTAAATCCTAATTTTAAAGCACTGTTTAAGGTAGTTTCCTGATCAGCTTTGAGTCAGAAGTAAACCAGAATGAAGTGCAAGCATACACTAGCAATTTAATATCAGTTAAAAAGAAGTTTCTCTATTCTTTTCTCTATTCTTTGAACAATTAACAAACTTTTTGTCAAGGAATAAATTGTACATTTAATGGGATGGCTTTTATTGCTTTAACTTGCAAACAAGAGAAACAGGCTACTTCTCTTTCCCGCTTCATCCAGACCATTAGATGACAGTAAATTATATACTTTATTGGAAGAGTGCATATCAGTAACAATGCAAATCATTGTCCTTTATCAAAGCAAACAAATATCCTCTTAAGCATATCAATCCCCATAGACCCGCTTATCCATTTAAGCAACAGTTTTTCACTTACTTTTATCCTTTCAAAGTTTCCCTTAAAAAGCTTTGTGTTTCTGCAAGTTCTTTTTGCCTAATTCAGCAATTTCTTCATTTACTCTGGAGTCCTTGTATACCTTTCATAGCAACAATAAACAACACGCAAATGTCATTAAGGCCTAAAATCCTTTACATGTTTGTATAAAGTCTGAAGTAGCACAAAGTAAAAATTTTAACTTGAAAATCTCTGCATTTTGAAAATTTACATCTAGTTGGCATGTCTTTTTCTTGCAGGGCCTCCTTTTCATATGTTTCCTCCTGATTCTTTGGTAACAACTAGTTTTCCATATGTTTTGCTTTTTCTAATTCCTTCATAGACAGCAGTTTTTACTTTTGGTTCATTGCTATCCTCAACTAATAAAATATTTGTTGAATTATTATTATTGAACAAATTTGTATTCTGCTACAATCATAAAACTGAGTGGCTTACAAACTACAGGGAGTTATAAAATAAACATAGGTCAATTGAACCCAGACCTAATTCATAACTTCAGGGCCCAAAGACCCTCTGGGAAAAAGAACCTCATTTTTTTTCAGAAAGTGGACAATATTGGAGATGGAAAAATCTCTATGTAGAGGTCTTTCCAGAGGGCCAGTCCCATCATGGAAAAACAAAACTTCTGGGTTTTTTCCCCTAACTTACCCCAAATAGGAGACAAACAGCTGCTTCTGGCATGATTTGAAGTGCTGAAACCAACTCTAGTGAGGAAACGCAGTCCTGCAAGTAACTACCATGTTTTCCCAAAAATAAGACCCTGTCTTATATTTTTTTGACTCCTGAAATAAGCGCTTGGCCTTATTGCCATGTGCTCAAAAGCCCGATTGGGCTTATTATCAGGGGATGTCTTATTTTGGGGGAAACAGGGTAGGTGTCAAGGAATAAATGGCTTTATAGGTAAAAACTAGCACTTTAAATTGTACCTGGAAGCTAATTGGAAACCAGTTAGAGACCTAAAAAAAACAGGTATACGGTAGTGGCCAAAATTGTGGAAACCTTTTGGGAAAAGTGTATTTTCTAAAACTAGCTAATAACACCACCTTTTTTTGGAGTAGTACCATAAAATTTAATCAAGAATGTAATGCAATAACTTTTATGAAGGATTTGCTATTAGAATAGCAATTACAAGCTGTTATAAAGAAGAAAAGAGAAACACACAGAAAAAACGAGATATACAAAAATTATCACGTCAGTTAATACTTAGTTGGGTAACCTTTAGCATGAATTACAATGTCTTTCCATGGAGTGAACCAAGTCCTTTAGTTCTGCAGCTGTTATAATGTGAAACCAAGATTGAATGATTGCTTCTATTAACTGGGTTTTATTGCTGGATCAACATTATTTAATGTTTTAAAAATTAAAAGCTTTAATAAAATATAGATTTATATAATTCTAGCTCAGTAACCAAGCCATGTTAATGACAGAGAAATTTCTGACCAGCAAGTCGGTCCCAGAGCGCACTGTAGATGTATCATATCTAATATATCACATTAGCAGTGAATGTGTATTGATGATGCCATATGGCTATTGGATGGAACATTTTAATGCATCTTTGTATGTAACTCATTTTTGTGCTTAATCTACATTATTTACTCTATGTTACTATTACTTTCCTGTTTGTATCACAAATTTATGAGACTGAGAAGCAAGGTCCAATCTGGCTCCGTCCCGGGACCCAAGGTTTTGTCTTCTGAGCTTTTGGACTTTTGCTGGAGCCCATCTTCAGGGAACTTCTCTCTAGAGAGACGTTTCCTGAAGATGGGCTCCAGCAAAAGTTCAGAAGATTAAAATTCTGGTTCGGGTGACCAACCAAAATTGGATCATGCAACATTATCCCTGGACACATATATTCGCCTTCTTTCACTGGGAATTAATTTCATATGCTGTAAAATGATACAGGTGAAATAATCCTGATCATATTATTTCTTTGCTTTCCAAATGCTTGATGTTAAAAAAAAGTATTTGAGAAGAGCAGTTATGTATGGTTATGTTATGTTATGTTATGTTATGTTATGTTATGTTATGTTATGTTATGTTATGTTATGTTATGTTATGTTATGTTATGTTATGTTATGTTAATCACTGTATTTAATACATAGTAATGGAAATATTTTGGCCATTTTTCTTATGAGAAAGCATACAGAAGAAACACAGATAAATTAATTTTCTTTTTTCCTGCTAGAAATTAGTGTGTCTGAATTATACCTTGAATGTGAACCAAGTCTATTCTAATACCATCCTTTATGAAGAATTCTTGATTTTTTAGCTTTTCTTCTGCTTACTGCACATTGCCTGGTTCCAGGCTGAGGTAGTAGTTTGTACAGTTTGAGGGTCTATGATACCACCCGGTACAGGAGATAACTGTACAGGCCACTGCCTTGCCTGGGGCAGAGCTTTACGACTACAAGAAGAGATTTCCTGCCCATGTTTGTTTGGTGCCAGGTAACAGTTGTTCTCTGGAAAGCACCAGTTTGTCTCAAATGCTTGTATATGTTGCAGATTTTCTTGTAGCTCTTTTGTTTGTGGAGAGTCGGCTCTTCAAACTTTTAGGTCTAATCTTGTTCATTCATGTTTCTCTGTAAAACTATGCCTTGGAATAAATGCTTGCTAATTCATCGGAAAATCCTGAAGCAGATTATTTCCACGAAATAGAAAAACTGCAGAAATATGAGCCTGCAGGCATAAATTGATATCATTTAGTTTATCTTTGAAGAAAGGAAAATTGATTTATTATCCTATAGGGAAAGTATACTTAATCTGTTGTACCAGCTGACTTATATATACTTTGAGACTTGATCACCTAATGGTAAATGTTTTTTTAAGAAAGTCCTATAATTTAGCAACCTTCCAATGCATTCAACCTGTATTTAATAATCATCTAAATTTAAATCAGTTAAGAAATGGTGCAATAAAATATTACACATTATTTTTGATTTCATATTCATGGTTTATAAATGCTACTAAATTATTTCCTTTTACATTGTTTATCTGCTTTATATTATAAGGTGTAATCAGTGTTTCATATACACATTTTTATAGCAATTACTGAGTTAGAAATGAATTCTGGTTCTGTATCTGTGGATATAGAAATAATGTATCTTTTTGAGCCAGATTCTTACAGAAAGTTACACTTTGTGACCGTATTGTTTACACCCACAATAGCTGATTGGTTTTACATGCCATGATTTATTTTCACTGTGATTTTATATGTGTTTAGTTCATATAAAATACCAAACCATATACCTGAATTCATACATAGCATAAATCTTTGTATGCGTGGGTGAACTAGAAACTGTGTTCATGGCTGAATGTGTGTGAACTTAAACACGGTAGTTAATTCCATTATTAAAATGTGAGATGTGCAAGTCAGGTAATATTAACAAAAGTTTTACTCTAATAAGCAAGCTGCATTAGAAAGTACTTTTATATAATGTTTGCCTTGTTGATGTTTCCATACAGATACTATCAGATACCTTTCTCTTCATGACAATAAATACATTAGATACTTTCCGGGACATAGCAAGAGGTAAGATGAGTAGAGTATACCATATAATTTTATATTGCTTTAACTATAGGAAGAATTAAACACATAAGAGTAATAACTAATCCACAATAGATTTTGTTCTGTTTTTACTTACATTGCCTAAATTTTCACCTTTTTTTGAAGAATAAAATATATATGGCATATGATGCAGACTACTTTGGCTATATTATTTTTTTTCTCTTCATTTCAGAGTTGTTGCTTTATCTATGTCTCCAGTGGATGATACCTTTATATCTGGCTCACTTGATAAGACTATCAGACTTTGGGATCTTCGGTCACCAAATTGTCAGGTAAACTTCTAAAAGTCCACATGAAGTATGTTAATGTACTTCAAGTGTTGTGTAGATTGTAGATTACAGACTTTATTTCTAGTGTAGTAATAGATATGAACAATAGACACACACACACACACACACACACACACACACACCCACCTCAAGCCTAAGTCTCGCGTATTGAAAAGTGCACTTTCTCTTAGGTGATTCTTAAGAAAAACAAATAGTTTTGAATAATTATAATAGTAATAGCAAAAATTAAAAGGATTCAAACCAAAATTAGTAACAATGTCCAAAGTAAAGTGTAAAGTAACAATTAATGGCTGGAGGAAAAAGGGAGGGGCTACCAAAATATCAATTGATCTATTCCTTTTAATTGTTTTTTCAAATTCCTTCAAATACACAAATATGCGTGTGTATTTATGTTTGTACTTTTGACTTTTTTGCCTGAATTTTTTAATTACCTAATAAAAAAGAAGCCCAAACATTTCAGTATATTTCTAGATCACATCCTTTTAACAAAAAGCAGTATTTCAGAAATGATTATTTTGCATTTCTGTTAGAGATGCTATCACTTTATTTAAATAGATTACTGTATTTTGATAAAAAGCAGTTGGAGAATTAATATAGATCCATCATGGATGCTTCTAACAAATCATGGCTTTAATTAATCATTGTTATTATTTAAATTTGCACCCTGCCCAACTCCCAATGACTCCGGGCAGCCCACAAGTACAACTATTCAAAACAAAATAAAAAATACAGTGAGAGACAAAAATAAAAGATGACAAGGATGACAAGTACCTAATAGAAATGAAAGTGACACAAACCTATACAACTCAAAGACTCAGGTGTACAGCACTGTGTTCAAATTCCTTTGAAACACCAATAGGTGGGATCAGTCAATCAGATTTTGGGGGGAAGCTCATTCCAGAGGACATGTGCTGCAGCAGAGAAATGCTGCTTCCAGAGTCCCAGCAGCTCATATTGCTTAATAGTCAAAGGAACTTGGAGATTGAATAAGCCAAGCAACTACCTATAGAAGACAGACAGTCCCTGAAGTAATTTGGCCCAACACCAAAAACGGCTTTATAGATCAATGCCTTGAGGAAAACAGGCAACTAGTGCAGCTCACAAAGGTGTGTGTGTTACTTACAACATTTATATAGTTGCTCATTTTATATTGAATTCTGGATGGATATATATGTGTGTGTGTGTGTATTCAAAATCTAGGGTCTGATGCATCCACAAGGAAAACCTGTATGCTCATTTGATCCAGAGGGGCTGATTTTTGCAGCTGGGGTCAATTCCGAAATGGTGAAACTTTATGATCTTCGCTCCTTTGATAAGGTAAATAATATGTAATGTTTAAATGCATTTTGAATATGGCATCTTTTCTGAGATGAAATTCCTAGGATTGTAGATTTAATATTCTGTTGTGGCTCCGTTACCTGAGCCTGTGTTATCGGCAGGAGAGGACTCCAAGAGTGAAGGAGAGGAGTTGGCAAGGCCTCCCTCTCCAGGACCCTCCTCTCTGGCAATGCCTTCGGTCTCCTCCGAAAGTCAAGAGATAGGCCCGGGGCCAAGCACGTCCACGCAGCCACAGGTGGACAGTAATGAGGAAGATGAGTCTTGGCTGGACCCTCAGCAGCGTCGCAGAGATAAGCGCACGCAGCAGAGGAAGAGGCGTGCCAGGGATTAGGCTGAGTCACTGGACCACACCCCACAGGGTATAAAAGAGGGTGTGGTGGTCGGTTCAGCTCTGTGACAAGCAAAAAACGGATATCGGACGACCTTCTTTGTATTTACTGGACTTTGTTGATTATTGTGTATTGGCTTTGTTCCCGGACGAAGGGAGAAACTCCCCCCTCGTGAGTAAAGAATACCTGGCAGCCAGCCACTGGGTTGCTGCCAATTCTGATACCGGATAAACTGTTGTCGGCTGAGTTCTTTAACTGTTGCCTGTCTGTGGGGGTGCGTGTGTGAGATGGGGACAGAACATATTCAGACATATAAAAGCAAAACATTAAACTCAGGATTTCTAGCATAAATAATTTTCAGGTATCCTTGGCAAGTTCTGTGGCCTAAGAAAATGAAAATTCCTTCCCAAGTCAGACACAGTCTGCCTAGTAAGGTATTCTTTGCAAAATGGTATGAACATCTGGAATAGTTTTGCTGCATGCCAACGTCTGTCTTTCTTTTTTGAAGGGTCCATTTGCTACCTTTAATATGCAATATGACCGAACCTGTGAGTGGACTGGCCTGAAGTTCAGCAATGATGGAAAACTTGTTCTTATTTCAACTAATGGAGGGATCATACGGCTCATCGATGCCTTTAAAGGAGCAGTTCTTCATACATTTACAGTGAGGGACATTTCTATATCTCCATACATGGTCTTTGTTTTGATTATTCTTTAAAATTAAGACAAAATTTATGGAATATTGAGTTAGCATTGCAGTTGAAGACACTTTTGTAGCTGAAAATAAGGATACTTAATTCATCAGGTTATTTTTGCTGACCCCTTTTTATTAAGTGAAAATTGAGGTTTGATGGTGCATCCCTTATGTAAAACTGAATCATTAAGCTGGAATATCTGAGAGTAACTTCTTAATTGAAAGAGATCTATTAGAATAAAGAGATGAAAAAATAATTAATAAAATAAAAAGCACTTTATAAAATCATGCTTTAGATTATATTTTAGCATCCTCCCATCCTCTTATACTTTTTTCAAGCCATGGAGTTAAAAAATAAATTATTCTAAATTTCACAACCATTTATAGATACAAGTATATATTCTCATTAATCATGACAAGAAGAAAAAGCTCCTGTTCTGTGGCTGATTCTGGATTTTTAAATAGTCCAGAGATAGTAACAATTTTTCCTCTCTTCAATTTTTAAATTTTCCTGGGGGAAATTATAGATGGTGTCCTTGTAATGTTGTTCAGATTTTTTTCCCATCAATTAAGGCTTAATTTGAGAGGTAGTTTGGCATAGTAGTTAAGGCACTTGGCCTAAAAATAGAATGTGAGTTCTAGGCCTCCCTTAGACATCAAAGCCAGCTGGATGACTTTGGGCCATCATTGCCTCTCTCATCCAGCCCACCTCACAGGACTGTTGTTGTGGGAAAAATAGGAGACAATAGGAATGCTTGCTGCCCTCAGTTGATCAATACAGGAAAATGGGCAATATAAAATGGTGATGATGACCTTCTGAGTGATGTCTTTTTCATTCTGTTTTCAGCCATAAACTCGTACACAAACTTTCCATAGATCCAGATCTTTCCAAGACTAATCCTAAATTTGGATTAACGGGCTAGCAATTGATTTTACTAAATGTGCTTGATATTGTACACCACCTTTGTGAGGGAGATGGGCAGTTAAGAAATATTTTGTGACTTATTTTGTACTGGCTTTTGAAGAATTAAATCTTCTAGAATAGGAGTGGATAACCTTGTGATAGCGTAGATGCATGTAGTATTTTAAGGAAAAAAAGTGTTGTTGGTGAACTCCATTATTGAATGGGCAGAGCGTGGTTTTCTCCTTCACTGGTAGTGGGCATTTTCCTTGGAGTAAACCTTTTCAAAAGCTTTCAGCAGACTTTTTATCTGTTTCTCTCCTGAAATGGCAAGGACAATGGTTGGAAGGGGCCTCTTGGGCACACTGACATTGCAAACCATTTTTTGTTTGAATTAGCTTTAACTTTTCTGTTATATTTTATGGTCACAATCTCACTGTTTTTTGTTATTGTTGTTCAGATGCTAAATTGTGTCTGACTCCATGGTCCATAGTACGGTAGGCCAACCTGTCCTCTACTGTCTCTTCAGAGTTTGCTCAAATTAATATTCATCTTTTTACAGGGATATAATAATAGCAAAGCTGTCACATTGGAAGCTTCATTCACTCCAGATTCTCAGTTTATAATGATTGGTAAGAGAGTTATATTTCCTATGTATATATCAGTGCAGCACCAATTATATAAAATAATTTCAGGGTCACTTCCATAAAGCATCCAAGTGGTTTGTATCTTTTGGGGAGGATTGTTTTATATGGTGCTTCATTTTTGCTACAATGTGTTATTTATTGCTATTTACTTGAGTTGCTTGATGAATCAGTCCTGATTCCGTTGATTCTGGTTAAAACTGCAGGATCAGAGGATGGGAAGATTCATGTCTGGAACGGAGAGACTGGAATGAAGGTAGCAGTGCTTGATGGGAAACACACAGGACCCATTACCTGTTTGCAATTCAACCCCAAGTTTATGACATTTGCCAGTGCATGCTCCAATATGGTAAGGAAACCTAAGTTGATTCAAATTTCTGAACAACTCAAGTCCTTCTGGATTGAGGGGACCGTGGTGTTTTCTGAGTTTGGTTGTTTTCTTACAGATGTTTCATTACCCAACATCTACAAGAAAACAACCAAGCTCAGAGAGCACCAAGGACCCCTCCTTTCAGACTTGACCTACAAATATTCTTTTATTGGTACATTCAGGATTGATTGTACTTAAATTAAAAAGATAAAGAGATTATTATCAATAATATATCACTTTTCTTTGTAATTCTTGTTAATTCTCTACATTATTTTGAAATTTTGAGACCATATTATTAATGATCTCACAAAATGACTACCATGGGGAGCTTGCCTATTTGTAAAAAAAGGCTTCCAAATTGAAAACAATGCAACAAAAACTTCCAGAGCAGGTATGGTTATTTCCAAAATATCTTTTTACCAGGAAGCAATCAGATGCATTTGTTTTCCACTAGTCTGTACACTCTTTGGCATGAGGCATCTAAGAGACAAGATAGTAATCATCAAATATCTGAAATAATGCTGAAGAAGGAATGGGTTTACTCTATATTGACCCAGAAGGAAGGACCAGAACCAACAGGTTAAAACTAAAAGAACTGTGGGTAAGCTAAATGACAGGAAGGACTTTCTGATTGCACAACATGTTAGCCAGTGGAACAAGCGAACACATAATATGGTGAGATCTCCTTTGCTCAAGGTTTTCTGTACAAAGTTGGTCAGAACCTCTAGCAGATCTGCGCTGGACAAGGGTTGGAATAGATGACCTCTAATGTCATCTACCTTATAATTCCATGGGTTATAACGGTATGGACAACCATGAGATAGTAGTGGAAAAGTGTAGAAAACTAGTCAGCATCCATTTTTGGCAACCCAGATATACTGCCCATATTCCACTTAATATCCCTAATCTTTTTTTCTAGGCAGACAGGGACATTTTCAAACAAAGCCACTGGGCTGCAGTCATTTTTATTTTCTGAAAATTCCTGTTAGGCTGGTTGAAGTCATTACTGCAACTAGAACGTGGATCTGGAGAAGTGGCAAAGTGGTGCTCATGGGATATCATTCTGCTACTTTGTTTTATATACATTACTAAAATGCCGTTTCTCCGATATTTAAAAAAGAAGCAATACTATAGCTCCATTTTTCTGTCACAAATGAATGTGTTATTTCTGTAAGGAAGACACACACACATATACACACGAGTCATACACAGGTTAGACAATAGACAATTATTTTTGTATACTTGGATGACACTCTGGGTAGGCAGAAAAATGTTTATTTTTCTATTTAAATAAATATTTTAAAAGAGTGATAAAACATACTCCAGATGATGACTATTCAGGTGGTAGAGCCTTCCTTTAGTATTATTTAAAAGCCCTGGTATATGGAAGGGTATCATTTTAAGAATCCCATTGGCCTATGCCAGTCAAGTAATGTGGATTGGAATAGTTGAAATAGAAAATGTTTGGCGCTCAGATTGATTTAAATAAACACCATGCGTTTTTATCCTACATATATGCATTTCGGTTTCTGTGCTATAACAAATTGGTATACTGAATTTGATTTTTTTTTACTTCTCCCAACACTTATTTAATAAAAACCAAAATAACTTATTTTAAAATACATTTGAGTTGTATTAATGGATCACATTCAAAATGTAATAGTGGTGTTGATGATAAAGATACTGCTATACACACACACACACACACACACACACACACACACACACACACACAACATTCTTCTAGCCTGTTTTTCCTCTGCCAAAAAGTTGCTTACAAATATACATTTACAAATACTCTTCGTTACTGAACTAGTCATGGTTGAAAAATGTGTAGGTACATTGTTTTAATCTTGTAGTATCACATTAAATCAATCACATTGTAGTATCAGAAAAGTCACTTAAAGACAGTCAGTGTTACCTGGGAACATATGAAGATTCTGACAAAGTAAAAACTCTGTATCACAGTTTAGAAACTGAATTTCTAAAGGGCCATGAATGCTGGTTGCCCATCGCTGTACACTCCTCCAGCCCTTCCTGCAGGAAGTACTAGCAACCTGAGTTACCTCTCTGATACTACTTCCCTATTAGTGATGGAGTACAAAAATATTGTCTCTGCACAGCTGCTGCATAATCATTTGGATAGCTGTTAAATAAAGGGCATAGGTGGCCATCACAATATAGCCAGGATTGCCTGCTGATGCAGTAGGTTAGTTTTTGGCATTGTTTTAAGACAAACCTTCTTGAACATTAACATTATTCTCTGTTTTTTATTCAGGCCTTTTGGTTGCCAACTATAGATGACTAATCTGAATTCATCACATCCAGTGGACAGTTTCCATACTGTATTGAAAGCAATGCAGTATTTATAAAGACAATAGTGAAAGTATTGGAATTGGGTCAGTTGGAGATGAATATTCCCATCAAGCACATTCTGCATGTATCTCCTTTTGTCAAGCTCTTTCCTGCATCTCCTACAAAGGATTTCTTCACGTGGCTATACAGTTCCTGCTTTGAACATATCTTCCAACATCAAATTGAAGCAGAACTATTACAGCTGAAATCAAATAGCAGCTTTGCTTTGGAGTACATTCGGAAAGAATTTTGCCAGTCCTTTGTCTTTGGAGCTGACTTGTAAACTCCTGGGATTTTGGATTTGGTTAAAAGTATACTTTCTAACATATTCTGCCCCATTTGAAATATCAGCAGTAACCATGCTGTGTACTCTTGTGCTATATAGATACCTTTGTGCCATACACACACACACACACACATTTATACAGAGAGATCAATTGCTAGGGGGACATTGTTAAAGATGTTTAGCCTTAAGTGCTCCAACAGGTTCTGAATCTTTAGGAAACCATACTGATCCTCTTTGTCATGGGCAGCTTCTGACATGAACAGATAATTGGGTGTTTGGGTAGAATGCCAAGCAATACAGAAGTCTCAGCTGGACTGGATGGAAATGCACTTCCTGTATCTCTTCCTTCAGTGTATCTTTGCAGATTTTTATAAATAACAGGGAAAGGGAGGAGAATGTGAAAGGGTCACTATTGTTTTTTTACTAGCAGGTATTAAAAAATAGTAACATTGGACCAACATAGTATTCTGGAATGAGTGTTAGTGTACTTCTCTTTCTAGGAGCATTCCAAGTTTCTATTCTTCCAAGTACAAATTTACATTCCACTCTTCACAATGCAAGTAGTACAACTCCTCCCTCTGCCTACACAGGGGATCGCCATTCATTAAGCACTGAGATATTCTGTACGTGGAAATTAGTCTTTTTCATTAGTGGGTTGGATGAAATTGTATAATTACCAGCTGATCTCAATTTTTATTTCTGCTGATAATTATACAATTTCATCCAAGCCGGTTTTTATTCCCTGCAGTAGAATGAAGGGCCCCGTTTTAACTTTCTCTAAGCATCCTTTCCAAGGCAGTAGAAAATTTAAATTCATGTTTTTAACTTCCTAAGATTTTAATTTTATAATATTGATGCTGCATTTCCTATACATGTTAATGGTGGTGTATCGGCTACCATAATCATCTTCACCTGATAACAATCTGTATACTTAAAAAACCGAATTTCATAGAAGCATAATTTCAATGCTTCATGCTCTCGTTTTCTTAATATTAAGATGCTGCTGCCTTTTCCATCCGTCAGAACATTTGGATAATATCAGCACTCTTCTTTAGTACATTTGGCTTTGCTCAGAAGTGTTCATATTCTATGGAGATGTTTGCATTATTGGTATTGTACTAAACCCTCCACGGAGTTGAGAGGCATGAGTCAGCCTGAGCAATATAATCAGGGAAGTTTGTTTTGGTGAATAAAAGAAGGGAATACCCTAGCTGACATTAAGTTGACTGTTGGATTCATATTTAAACTGGGTTTTGTGTTTCTGCTCAACAATTTATATCCCACAGTAAGATTTTTTCCTTAGTCAGCTAGCATCTAATAATACAGATAACTCCAGCTTAGGGAATTACTGTAGATACATCAATGTTCTACCTCTTGGCTTGTTCGTGAAAGATTTTGCAGGCCAATGAGCAGCAATTTTGGGACACAGGGCAGGATTGTTGTTCGCGGTGCCCTTTGCAACAATTAATTGCACAATACACTAAATTATATGTTCTTTTTTTATGGCCAGTTTTTACTAGATATCATTTAATCAACTTTAGACCTGTTCGTAATTTTAGCATTTCTTCAGTAACGCAAATCAATAGAAATGTCTTTTTAAGAAATGAATACACTTTTAAATACACTGCCCTTGACCTAGAATTGGTTTTCGTTTAACTGAGTAAAAGTTAATTTTTTACTGGGAATTGATTGTGGGATTGTTTTTTTTCTTTAGAAATGTTATCATTTGTAATCTGATTTTTTACATTATGCATTCTAATAACATACTGCATTTTTACATCTGTATTTGCAGCTTGAATATTTTTTTATAAATATTTCCAGTCAAGAATAAATTACAGTATTAGGTATAAGACAGGATTGCTCTCCTGTATAAATTGTTTTTTTATTATTCCTTTTTAATTTCATCTCTAAGCACATCCTTATGTGAAAATACATTGGTTGGCTATTTTATTACTATTTTAAAAGCATAAATAAAATCTGAAGCAACTCAAGATAGTAAGATAAATATGTAATTGCACCCAGTCTGTTTTCATATAATTGAAACCCTTTGGACATTGAAAATGCAATGTCATATTTTGACTAGCTTATGTATTTCCTTCTGCCTTAAATGTTTTTGGACAAAATGCCACTTTGTTTTTTTTTTTAAATGTCAATTTAGTATTAAGGGATTTAGCTAATTTACTGCCCAATTCCTCAAATATTCCTTGAAGTAAGTATAGTGTAATTCTCTCTGAAGATTGCTCTAGTGATCCTCTCCTCCCTCTGCTGTTTTGCCACTTTTCTGGTGGTTGCCATTGTAATATTGTAATCCAAAAGTGAAAGTGTCTCCATTGCAAGGGAGAAAGTAAAAGGAAAGCTTATCTCTTTTTTCCCATTTTATCTTCCAGTGCCCTTTCCAATTTGTTCAAAAGCACTTTCACAAAATAATCAAATAGCTTATCTTAAATTTTCTTACATTAGTTCCATGTTACGCTTTTTACAAAGTTTTTAAAAACTTTTTTCCCTTTTGTAATTCAGAACGATTGATTCACCAAGTTGAATTCTCTTATCCTGCTGCTCCAAAAATATCTCTATAAATGTAACTTAATTACATCCAAAATGTTTAAGAAATTATTGCATCAGTTATGAGCTTGATTGAAATCCTTCTATTCCCAGCCATTTACTCGTGACCCAACTACAACCACCTTAGTTTCTGCAGTCTGTTCACGAGGCGTAGCAATCCAGAGTGCAAGTGGACAATCTCACAATCTCTCCTTTATCTTGAAAGCCTGCTGATTAGATTTCTCTGGCCACCAATCTCCGCCGCAGTACCATCCCAGCGCCTTCAAGGATATTTAGTCCATGAATTTCTCATAGCAAAAAGCATCAAATCACCAAAATTGACTTTGTGCAAATGACCAAATTAAGGGAATTAGCATAGCAAGTAAAAATTATTGAATGTATTTGTCAATGACATGACTATAATTTCCAATGCAAAAGAACAAGAATGTGTCGGTCTTCAGCAAAAGCTTAGCAATTATTTTCAAAAAGTCCACAACAGTTGGCATTTATACACACCATAAACAAAAATATTTCCTATATCTTAGATCTTCCCCTTCAAATCTTAGGTAATTAGGAATTAACATATCAAATAATTGAAGCTATTCCATAATGATTATAGCCCTCTTTGGAGTTTTAAAAGATTTATGTAAACATTTTGAGTTGTGGTGCCCAAAATTGATTTCAAACCCTCTAAAAAAAATAAATGTTGACAAAATTCTAATTGTCAGAAACAAGCTTTATTCTGTTTTAAATCAACATATAATACCGTAAAAACATGCCACAAAAAATGGGACATCTCTTAAAAATATAGTAAACAGCCCAGCTGACATGAACCATGCCTTGAATTCCACCAAACAATGGTCTGAAATGTAAAATGCTCAATTTTGGAATAAGTCTCTCTTCTCCCCAATATATTAAGAATTTCAATAACTACCCAAATAATATGTTGAATTTGGAGAATGAATTTATTTCAAAATTTATTCTACATATTTCAATTCTGTTGAGAGCCAGTTTAGTCTAGTGGTTAAGGCAAGAGGCTAGAGAAAGCATGAGACCATGAATTCAAATTCCCCCATTGCCATAGCTGGGTGACCTGGGTCCAATTACACCCTCAGCCAAACTCACCTCAGGGTTACTGTTGTGGGGGAAATGGGAAGATGATGTGTTGGATTTGCTTGCTGCCTTGAGTTATTTGTAAAAATAATAAAAGATGGGCTACAAAAAACATACTTGAAATGTATTATGGCAAGTCTGCTACAGGACTAAAAGAAACCAGGAACTTAAGAGAAAGGAACAATTGGGTTTTTAGTTATTTAAAAATAAATATTGAAATTAAAGATGTTTGTGAATCTCTATGGCAGCTTCAAGCATTTTTATCAGTATTAATAAAGGAATTATATTTTAAACTTCAACATCAGTGGCATCAAGCTCCCATATAACTTATCAACATTCCGTGATATCCTGGTGAAGCTGACAGTCAAAGGGAACATTCTTTCATCTTTGGTAGGAATGCAATAAAGTATTGGAATTTTGGAAGAATGTGTTTAAAGAAATATGTAACTAAACAGAAGATTCAATTGCTATGCATATTTGATAGATTAAAAACCACAAAGTAAAAAACATTAACATTTTTGTCAAGAGCAGCTGAATTGGCTAGCTAAACAATGGGAATACCTGGAAAATATTTCAGTGGAGAGATGAAAAGATAATATCTGGTATATATATCTTTATTTGAAAAAGTATCTGATAAAATCATTTCTGTGACAAGCCAAAGTAATGAAACATTTTCTAATGAATCATGGAATGTCACTATAAGACAATCATTCTGGAAATAGCTTATATCAAACACTATGGGCATATAAAAATGTACCAGTACTGTGTAATACTTTAAAACTGCACTTAAATCTAATAAAAAATAAATATAAAATGACCTTGCTATTTCAAATAAATGAGACAAATTCTGCTGGCACGTATTTTATTGAAAATAAAGTTATTTTAAGATATTAAATATATATATTCTTTATGTTTGATATTAAATCCATGCTTATACTATTACATTTTAATATGCAGGTAAGTTTTATATATAAATACAGTCACACACATAAAATACAAAGATAACCTGAACTACAATAAAAATGGTTCTCAAAAGCCCAAATCAGCATGTTGTCTTGACAGATTCAGCCTGAAGTCAAACAATGAAGGTAGTAACATTTTAATAGGGTGATACTCCTTAATGTCCTGCAGTTCAGATTTTTGAGCAACTTTAAGACAGATCTTTGCTAATGGCTTTGTATAGCAATATGTTTTACTACTATTTTTAATATATTTTGTATTGCTGAGGAAACTCTGGATATTACATAAAATTTTAGGCTGCAATACAAAAATTTTCTTCATCTTAATAAAAGCATTATGTATTACTAAGCACATGCTAATCCTTCCATATTTAGATAATGAATAGAGAAAGCTAAAACTTATTTTCTTAAATACTAAATTAGCATTTATGATAAGTTAGCAATTTGTAAAACCAAGGAAAACAAGATTAGTGTGAAACAAAGTCAATGACCTTTTCTGACTTAAAGCATCACCACCAGATGGATTCATAACTGGCTGATCAACCACACCCAATATATAGTCCTTAATGGAACTACATGTACATCGAGGGAAGTATGCAGTGGGGTACCCCAAGGCTCTGTCTTAGGCCCAGTACTCTTAATATCTTCATCAATGACTCAGATGAGGGGATAGAAGGGGTACTCATCAAATTTGTAGATGCCACCAAACTAGCAGGAATAGCCAACGCTCCAGAAGATGGGCTCAAGATACAGAAGGATCTCAACATACTTGACATCCCATCTAACATAATGAAATTAATTGTTGAGAAAAGTAAGGTTCTACACTTAGGCAAGAAAACCCAAATGCCCGTATATAGTATAGATGGTACCTGGCTCAATAGTAGTAACTGCAAGAGGGATCTTGGAGTCACTTAAATATGAAGCAGCAGTGTGCTGCAACTGCCAAAAAAGCCAACGAATCCTAGGCTGCATCAATACAAGGATAGAATCAAGACCACATGGAGTGTTAGTAGCACTTTATAATGCCTTGGTAAGACCACCCTTGGAATATTGCATCCAGTTATAAATAAGATATTGAGACTCTAGAAAAAGTGCAGAGAAGAGCAACCAAGATGATTATGTCCAGAGGCAAAAACATATGAAGAACAGTTGCAGGAACTGGGTATGTCTAGTTTAATGAAAAGAAGGACATGATAGCAGTGTTCCGATATCTCAGGGGCTGCCACAAAGATGAGGGAGTCAACCTATTCTCCTAGCACCTGAAGGCTGGACAAGAAGCAATGGGTGGAAATTAATCAAGGAGAGAAGCAACCTAGAAGTGAGGAGAAATTTCCTGACAGAACAATCAGTGGAACAACTTGCCTTCAGAAGTTGTGGGTGCTACAACACTGGAGGTTTTTAAGAAGAGATTGGACAACCATGTGTCTGGATTTCCTGCTTGAGCTAGAAAGTCTCCAAGGTCTCTTCCAATTCTGTTATTCTGCTTTCAAAGTCTGGACTTGCGTTTTTCAGCAACTATATGTTTTGATACAGTTCCATTACCATCTGAAAGGCAATTGTGCCTCCTCTAGCAGCAGATTGTTTAGTATTCATTCTCGTTATACAATGGAATTGCAAATACAGAAATGTCATCATAAGAAGCAGGCTCTTTACTGTCCTTAATCCAGTAATAGCCATCCTCCTTCCCTCTTGCTTTCTGCACAAGCAGTTTGGCCAATTCTGAAAACCTGTGAAAATAATACTGGGTTTTATGCAGTGCAGTTATAAATAATCCTAAAGAAATAATTAAAAAAGAAATGGCATAATGTTCATGAATGGTATAAATCAGGGGTGAAATTCAGCTGGTTCTATCCGGCTCGGGCGAACCAGTAGTGGCGACTGCGGGAGGCTCCACCCACCCGTGCGGACGTCATGATGTCGCTTTTTTGTGACAGTTTAAGCCTCTGCGCATGCGCAGAAGGCTTTGCGCATGTGTAGATGATTGCACGAGCGAAGCGAGCTCATGTGCAGCATGTGCACATTTGCAAACCGGTAGGGAAGGTAAGTGAATTTCACCCCAGGTATAAATACTGTACAATATATTCTATGAACTAACCATTTTGACTGAAATTCAGAAAACTAATTTATATCAGGCTGGAGACAAAAACATTCTAAATGCTATGACTGGCTTTTCTTAACATACAGACATTCTATTTCTCTTGGAACAGACAAGGTAAGGAGGAAAGTGAAAGTGAAACTACAGATATTTACAAGGGCCTTAAGCTTAGACAGCAACCATTTTTGTCTTTCCCAAAGACAGGGCAGCAGGCTGTGTGAATTATCCAAGTGTTCCAGAAATGTTTTTGAAGCTTTATTCTATATTTAGATACAAAAATTGTGTTGATTACTTGAGCATGTGTGTTCTTCGTGCATATGCTTGCTGGTAAATGTTCAGGTTGCCTTACGAATGGAAAAAATATATAGTTTGCTAACCACTGTTGTCTGACAGGCTGCCAATAGAAAAATATGCATTGTACTTATGCATTGTGACTGCTTAACCCAAACACCTGAAAATACATTTTTGCTGTTATATTATTGATGGATTGTTGTTTTTTTACCAACAAAGACTGAAAATAATGTGTAACCATGTTTATGTTTTGCTGTGGAAAATTTTAATACAATTCCCATGTCTAACTTTTTATTCTAGAATGGGAAGTAGATAGCAGTCATTATAGACTGTCATCTTATGTCATTTATGAACCTAGATTTAAAAATGAATTGGCAATGTTCTGAGTCCCTGGTTCCCATTTGTGGGTCTTCTCATTTGTGGATCATATATAACAGGGTTGTCAAACTGGATTTCTTCGAGGGCCGGATCAGCATTGTAGTTCTTCTCCACGGGCTGCCGGGGGAGGGGAAGCAGAGGGGACGCCTCCTGCAGCACTTTGCCAGCCAAAATACAGTGCGGGCGGGGGGGCAAGCGTGCCCCCCTGCACCTCTTTTTTGGCCTCCAGCAGCATTCTGCCAGCCAAAGACGGGCATCGAGGGGCCTCATGAGGCCTTCACACGACCAATTTTTGGTTGGCAGAGTGCTGCTGGAGGCCAGGGAGGCCAAAAATGGGCTGCGTGGGGGCTCCACGCGGATCATTTTGGTTGGCAGAGGCACCGCGGGCCAGTCCTTTGATATTTTAAGGCCGGCCCCACGGGCCAGATTTAAACACCCCACAGGCCGAATCTGGCCTGCAGGCCTTGAGTTTGACACCCCTGTTTTATAACTTACAACTTTCTGAAAGAACATTCCAAGTGGAACAATTGTATCCCAAGCTTGACATTGTATTTTTCATTTCATGTGTTACCCCATTATGAGAAAAGTTACTTTCAAGCTATTTTATTGTAGCAGCAAAGAAAGGCAAAATATTGTTTAAACCTGAACAAGTTAAAATAACCCAAAAAAAACCCCCAGCACTTTTACTAAATTTTTCTTCTCATCTTTATAAAAAGTAGTTTAGAGATTTTTTAAAAAATAGAAAATCTCTTTATTATTAGATGGATTAAACTTTAACTCTCAACATCCTAGCCAATTTAGGGGGGTATTTTGCCAGCTGTAAAGAATCATGAAGGAAAAAAAATCCTATATCATGTTGGGATAGAAAATACAGTTGTCTACAAGCTAAAGAGATAAATTAACAAAGACCAAATGTATCTCAGAATAAATGCTCAAGCTATCACATATGAAAGATTCATCCAAATTTAGTTCAGGTGGGTTTTTTTCTGGCCTCTATAAGGTTATAATGTCTCAGGTAAAATGAATGCTACACCCTCTTCCAATATAAAAATTATTAGTTGCCTGGTATTCTAACAGCTCTGTGAGCAAAGGATACTGATAAAGGACCAAAATTATAATTGCACAGATTGACTAACATGTTTCACTTCTTATATTTTTAACACCAGTATTTCTGCCAAGTATTTTTATTGCCTTAGATTTCTTACGGATTCCTTTAAAACTTGTACTGTTAATGTTAAAAAATGTGGTAGGAGTGCCATCAGGTTGAACACAGTTCACACAATCTACATCATAGTTAACTATTAGTCAGAAAATGGAATTGGTTAATTATTGTTACAGTCCTGTTCTACAAAATTCCATTGAGAGAGAATAACTTTGATATTCCCATAATTTTTGCAACCTCTAATTGTACCTGTAAGGATCTGTTGTATTGTTCTGGAGAAAATTTCTGACAATTTGGGCTACATCTTCATTGGACAAAACATCCCAAAGGCCATCTGTTGCCATGATGAGGACATCATCTCCATTAACATTTTCTGACGTTAAGTCAAATACTTCCACCTAGTCAGAAATAATAAAATGATTTAAACTTTTTCAGTTGTGATTCCTATGTCTCAGTGCTAAAATTTTATAAACCTATGCATTGAAAAGCTGTACCCTATATACTTATACCCTATATTCAATATAGTTTTCTGTTTTAGAAGCCCTGAAGATTGCACTACCAAAATATAAATCAAAATTTGAAGGTGTAATTTGTAATCAATTTTTGAAGGAAAAAAAATCTAAATTTTGTATAGGTTTGCAACAGTGGTGGGTTTCTACCAGTTCGGACAAACTGGTAGAGGTGGGAGCTCCGCCCACCCGCCCAGACATCATCACGGATGCTCTGCGCATGCGCAGAAGGTTCTGTGCATGCGCAGAAGCGCTGCACACAAGCAAAGTAAGCACGCACAGTCGCACGCTCACAGTTCTGAACTGGTAGCAAAGGTAAGTGAAGCCCACTACTGGTTTGCAATGATGTGATACTTCAGTGCAAATCCCTGGCAGTACTTAGTCACTGTGGCATATGGTCACTGAAAAAAACCTGAATCAAAAAGTGCATTTTCTGGGACCAAGAATCTTGGTTCTGCGTTTAGGATTCAGAGTTACATTAATTACATTGCTTAATTAGTTGAATTCCCAGTTTCAAGATTCCTCTTGCAGGATACATGAGCTGGATATGTACAATACTTAATCTAAAACATGTTTATCTACATGGGTTAGTAAATCGTGCCCTTACAGCTTTAGGAGTGTAACAAATCTCTATGAAAACCTCTATGACAGCATTTGAGTTGATTAAATATGTACATCAACAGTGTTGCCCTCAACATCTTATATGCCACTTCATTTCTCAAATCTTCATGTTAAAGTGAAAAATATGCAAGTGGAGTCTACTTGGAAATCAGAAGAACCCTTCCTGTGATTTGGGACCTCATTATCCTGAGGCTTCTCATATTTAATTTAACCAATGCGAAAGATTGTTGCAGACTTCTCCACAGTATTCAATCCAGGAAGATTTTGGTAATGCTATCTATTTTCTTATATAAATATAAACACCCACATAGTACTTACATACACAGCCTATCCAGACATAACACTTGTAACACTGTTGTAGTTTCTTTGAAATAAAGCCACTGTTCTAAAAGGATGAGTAGGCTGAATATAGAGAAGAGGAAGTACAGGCTGCTACTATTTACTACTAAATACAGGCTGCTACTATCAATGTAACATAGTACTTTCTTACCTTAGGAATGCAGGAGAGGAAAGGCTTAATTTCAATATTTGTTTCAATTACTTTTAACTGATGATCTCCCAGGCCTCGAGATACAGCCAGGGTGCCTAGTAAACGAGCCTGAAAGAGATGAGAACAGATTCCAGACTAAAGATGTAATAACATAAGGCATGGGAGATAATGTCAGCAAGAGTTAAAGTAAGCAGTAATATGTAAGTAATTAACAGTATATTTATATCCAAATATTTATTTTGCAGCTTGCAAAATCAGCATAGTCAACAGTATAATTATGTTTAAAGTAGCATTGTCCCACAGCATAAGAAGCATACCGTAAGAGGACAAGATTGTTTCTACCTAGCAATTAAGAATGAACATGGGGATGGAACAGCATGGGGCAGTTTTAATCTCTTAGTAACTGTGCTTTTAGTCAACGGTTCTACTTTAGAAGCAAGGAGGACCCAGGATCCAATAAGGTGATCAATAAACTGGCTACTTTGGTTTTTTTTAAATATCCAGAAGACTAAACTAGTCTTCTCCCATCTGGTGTCCTCCAGATTGTGTTGAAATTGCAACTTCCAATCCACATAGCTGACAACTTTTTAAGCTAGGAATTCTAAACTTAACACAACCAGGGAACATCTGACCATTGAAGGTTATTTAGGTTTTAACATACACATTACATTCTCACAATTAAGTTTCTCTGAATTACTTCCCCTGAAATAGTTCACTTATTCCCTAGTACATGATCATAAAAAATAGCCAAAAATAGTGAGAATGTTGAAACATGCACCCACATAGCAGCCAGAGAAGCTTCTCCTTTTGGTCTAATCTGGAGAGCACTCATGCCTGACATGTCCATTAGCTTTTCAAGTGGCAAGGATTCCCTTAGTACAGCATTATAACTTTATTTATTTTTTTCTACACCTTGTTTCTATAATCAGTGTACTGTAATTGTTAGAATTAGAGGATTGGTGGCCAACAAAATCACAGACAGCAGATTCCTGTCTGTGGACACATCAGAGGATTTCTCTGACTGTTGGGGCCAAATAAGGCGGCTGTCCCTGGTGCTGTTGCCATGAACACCTTCGATAAAGTGCCACCAATACCCCAACTGCATTTGTCATCAGCCCTCTGGTGAGCTGGACAGCTGGGATAGCAAAGGACAGAAGTTGACAGGGCCAGATGTCCTATTCCCTCACTTCTTTTCACCTCAGGATTTGTTGCAATGGAATAACTTTCCATTCACAAAGTCCCTGCATTCCACTCATCAGAGCTCCCTGGGTGACCATGGGATCATCAACGGTTCCATTGTCAAAGCAGCCCTCTCCATTGACTGTGCCCCATGAGAGAAGAGAAGCAAAGAGAGGGGTAGAAAAAATAGTGCCAATTTTCTTCCTCTGTCCTCCTCTTCCTCAGAGGTTTCCTGTCTAATTCCCAATGACCCAGTGAAGACTAGGCTGACACCAGAGTGAAGTGATAGCCATCCAACAAGTGAAACATGCCCTAGTTCCCTGCTAGGTGGCATAGATGTGGCCCCTCAGGACTTCTCAGATAGAGAGGAATAGGGAATTGTCCCTACATAACAAAGAGGAATAACAACCAGGTCTCAAATCTACCAGATTTTTCTAGGAAATAAAATAAAATTTCCACAACCACAAGTCTCTAGGCCTGAAAGAACCAGTCACAGTCACCCATTCTCTTGGTCAGAGGTATTTCCCTCGGTTACTAATTGTAGGTTTCCTGTTTCCCAAAATAGTTCCAAAGGTGCTTTTTCAAGAGGTAACTGGGCTTTCTTTTCTTTTTTTTTGAAAAAGAAAGCAGAAAGTCCAGTTGCCTCTTGAAAAAGCACCTTTGGGATAATCATGACCTGAATGACTGAGAATCTCCATCGACATTTCCCAAGATAATTAATAATTACACTCAGTTATGTTTATAAAGCTCAGGATAGTGAAGGTGTCCTTGATTGTCACACCTCTTTCCTCAGCCAGTGTTAGATCATCTCCCGACCTCTCCCCCCCCCCCCCCCCCACCCCAGTATATTCTGTGGTAGTTCTTACCTTGAACTCTTCGTTAACATAGTGGAAGCATCAATTATCCAGAGGACAGGCAGGAGGAAATTTTATACCCCAGGCTCATGAGGCTACAGCCAGATTTACCATATTTTTTGGACTATAAGATGCACCAGTGTATAAGACACACCAAGATTTCGAAGAGGTTAAGTAAGGGGGGGGAAGGGTTTTGCCCACCCTGGCCCCCAGGAGCACTCTGCAGTCCTCCCAAACCCTTTGCCCACCCCATTTTTTGCAAAAATGGGCCCATTTTTTACCCGTTTTTTGCAAAAAACAGGGCATGCAGAAGGTTTGGCAGGCCTACAAAGTGCTCCTGGGGGCTGGGGGAGGGCAAAAACACCCCCGTTTTTGCAAAAATGGGCGTTTTTCGCAAAAACAGGGGCATTTTTGCCCTCCCCAACCCCCAGGAGTACTCTGCAGGCCTCCCAAACCCTCTGCGCACCCTGTTTTTGTGAAAAACGGGCCCATTTTTCCCAAAATGGGACAAGGGGGGGCGGGGCTTTGGGACGCCAAAAATGGCTGTATTCATTGTATAAGACGCACCAACATTTCCACCCTCTTTTAGGTGGGGGAAAAGTGTGTCTTATACTCCAAAAAAATACGGTACCTCATAAATGCTAACCTGTCTAGCTTTGTGTTCCAGGTAAAAGCATGGATGCCAACATGGCCAAAATCCAAATTTGTTCCTCATACTGAGCACATTCAAGAATTACAAACTATTTGGAAAAGACCTGAAATTAAGACCAAAAAGGGAAAGACTCTTTAAAAATGGAAAAGGGAAAGCAACAGGACATGATAATGAATTTGATTTTCCAATGGGACCGCAAAATGATCTGCCCATATCCCAAAAGCCATCTAGAGAAGAATTGGTCATCAAATTCTACAAGGACAGAACAAAAGAAGTCACAGTTTCAAACTATGAAAGTGGGAGGCCTGAGGGACATCATACCTGTTTCCCATGTCCATGAATCAGAGGGTATTTGAGATCCTCTTTCATTACTGTCTTATATCCCCTGAAACAAACCAGACAAATGAGTCTTTTTATTTGTCCTTACACTGCACTGTGTCTACAAGTTAACATGGATGTTTAAACCACCTAATCTTAATGGACACTTAATTCTTTGTTGAAATCTAAGGCCTCAACTCAGAGGATTTATAGAATGCCCTATACAGCAAAATTGTATTCTTTTCTCTAAATGATTGAGAAACTCCATTTGCAAGGAGGTTAACATCTGAATGACACCATACATGAATACTTTGTATGAAATGCAATAGGAACAGCAGTTTTAAAGCAATTTCAGTCAACCGGCCTATAGAAGTCCACTTCGACAAATGTCAAATTATTTTTTATTAGCAAACCTATTTCATTCTCCCCCATCATTTACTGTTCACCATTATTAACATTAAATATAAGAAATTTGGCCTAGAGGACTCCTAATTTTCATTTCCTCTTTTAAGAAAAGAAAGTAACAATTAAAGACCATTGGAACACTGCATATTTATCAAGATATAGAAAGAAACAAAAAGTTCCCTTTATGTTTTACAAACATTCCCTCCTTCTGTAGAACAGAATCCATTCTAGTTTCAATATTTTTGATATGCAAAGAAAACAATGTGGTTGTAGGCAAACTGGCCACTGCAATGTTACTTGGGATTCTCTTAGCCTAAGTGGTTTAATTTGGAACAAAGATTACAAACATGAAGAGAAGAAAGAACAAAAGTAGGTAGGATAAATGGATGCAAACCATAACCAAGAGGAGGTTGTTAAGAAACAACCTAAGGAGAAAAGGAGGGAAGGACTACTTATCCAAAACAGAAAGACCTAAAAGATTACTCATACAAAACACCTAAAACCAGGCCATTCAAGAAACTCACCAGCCTTCCATTGAGTAATCTCGGTAGAGGACCTTCTGGCCTACATCATCTCCTTTCAATCTCCTTGGAAACTCAAACCGTGTGAACTCATCTGCTAGGAGCTTTGGGTAGATGAAAGCCTGGGGGGGAAATGAAAATGGGGAACAATGTTGTACTCAAAATACAATGAGCCTTAAGAAGTAGAAGCTAAAGATTTTTATATTTACAGATTTTAGGGAAGTCACTCGATTTTCCCCATGAGGATTTTTTTACACATACTTTTCCTCATAGAAAAAGATAAAAGGTTTGGATTTCTTCACTGGGCAACTTGTTATTCTAAGGGATAAGAACATCAATCTAATGTACTCTTTGTCTAGCTACAGTATATGCAACTGACAGAAATCTGAAGCCAGCATGGCAGATGGCTAAAAATGTAGAGAGCTGAAATTTTCTGAAAAGTAACAAACTGGGGAAGACTGTACTAAGCACAGTTCAGTGTAATACTGAAAATATTACAGAATAGATACAACCTGCAGTGTTCAGAAAAATCATAACATTTCTTTACTCCAGACCATTCTGGGAACAAGCATTCTTGAGCTTATCAGATACAAGTAAAATGTTTTGGCTCTTTTTTTTAAAAAAAGTATTAGAAAAAGGTTACTCTTACCAGGTGCTGGATTCTCTTCCTGTCTGTCTCAGGGGTACATTCAGTACTCAAGGGAATGATGCTCCGTTTTCGAACAAGAAGTACCCTGAAAAGCAGTATTTTTTCTTTCAAAGAGAGGAGTTTTGCCACTTTTAATGGTTGTCTCTCGTTTCATGTTTAAGATGGAAGAATAATTACATGCCAAGGGAAGATTCTTTTTTGTTTAGTCCAAGAGCTCAATTGCTTCAATTTAAGCCTATTTTCTTTTATATAAGGCACCTTACTCTGTAGCTCACAATTAAAACACCCATTTTCAATAACTTAGCAGCACCTGGGAATGGGATTTTTGGGAGGAAACCAACATGGGTAGGATTAAAATGAAGCCATCTTTCTTGTGCATCCAACCTGGAAAAAGAGCTTCTGGTAGGGTTTTGAAAGATTGTGTTTGCTCCACATACCACATTCCTATTCCAAATCAGGGCCATATGAAGTTGCATTGTTTAAAAAAAAATACCTACTTTAACTACCCTTTTTTTTAAAAAAAAACATGCTTATGGTCTAATTCCTTTAGAAGGAAAAAACCTCTGACATAGTAATTTTTAATGGCTTTTGCTTTGCATGTGTGTGTGTGTGTGTGTGTGTGTTATTTTTTGAAAATACTCAATTTTAGGCTTAATAAAATGTAGATTACTGTAGATATTTATTTAGCTAAAATAAAATGCTAAATGTCTTCCATATCCATATTAAAAGAACATGTTGGATCTTATCCAATGATGTTATGGGGTTTTAAACTCACCTGCTATCACCTGCATTTGCCACATAGAGCCTTCCCTGCAGATAAAGAGCAACCAGTGCAGTGCAGCCTGCTGATTGGTTGCTTGCTTTCATCTCTTGACCTATCATTTTATCCTGTTGGTAAAAAACAATATTTAATGATGTAAGACAGATATCAGATTTCCCAACACTGAAGCCTAATTTCATCACCATTGTTCCCCACTGGTGGTGGATGAAAACAGATAACTGCCAGTTAATGTTTCAAGTACGCTTAATTGTAAATAAACTCTAAGTAGAAACATTTATTATATCATTTTGCACATGATATGTATTCCTTGTTGGTATAAGAATTGATAGCACAAAATAGAACAAACAAGAACCCAGAACAGATGTAGGCCAAAGATAGACGACCAAAAAGTATTCACAATTCCTTACCATCGGCCATACTGACTTGATGGTTGGGAATTGAAATACAAGCCACCAGGGAAACATAGTTTTTTTTTTCCCCTGATCTAGCAGCTGTCCTGCCAGAATTGGAAACAGTAAAATTAACTCCATCAGCCATCTACAAAATATGACTAATACAAACTGCAATGACACAAACTGCATTCTCTCACAGCTGTGTCCTAAAGTTGGTTGCAAATATGTTTATGTTACAACATCATTTGCATTCCGCGTTTCCCACAGTGCACAACATAATTCAATTCTTGGGACAATAATAAAAAAGAAAGTAGGATCACTTACACATTCCTGGAAGGCGCTCTCCAAAGCTCCAACGACCACATTTTCCTGCTGAATTTTCTTTTCTTCCACAAACAGTGGATCATTCTGGCAAATGCATTGCCCACTGAGGTGCATCGGAGGATTATCTTCAGTGATGCCTTCTATTACATCCTCTAGTTTCTGCTTGATGCAACAGTGCAGGAAATTGGAGGCCATAAGTGAAGCTTCTGAACCACCATGGCCATCAAACAGTGCCCAGTAATAGCCTGTCAGATACTGAAAACCAAATTACAGTGAGGATCATCATATGGGACCCGCCTTCGTGCTACTGCAAGGACATTTGTGAGACTGAATGTTTGATGTGGAAATGGGAGACCCAGATTAAATTATCTGCTTGGGCATGAATCTCAATGAGAAGTCTTGACAAGTCAACAATATTGCAGCTTTATCTTCATTATAATAAGAGATGAATAGAAGGTTTCGACAAGTATGAATGTCTGAAAGCTAGTTATTAGTTATCATCAAGTCCCATCCCTTAAAGAATATCATCTCATTAAACCCAAGCGACATGACTTCTTGGCTGCTGTGCCTATCTCATGGAATAGCACTTCCCCGAGATCTGGATGCCTGGTTTTTCTAAAGCTGTAAAGACCTGGTTTTCCTCCAGGAGTTTGATGCCATTCAGTAGAACTGTCTGTTTGTTGACAAAATTGCAGGGTTAATTTTATCCTATGTTATAGTTCATTATATCTTATTTTTATTTTCCTTTTTAATTGTAAACTGCCCTGTTGTTTTAAGCATGTGGCTATGCGTGTGTGTGCACAGTTGTGTGCACAGTGTGTGTGTGTATGTGCGCGCGCACACACAAAAGTATGCATTGGATTCATTAGGTAGAAAATGTTAAGCGGTAAAGTAGTTATAATTGAAAAGGCAAGAAGCAAAAAAGGATAAGAGAATGATATTAATCAATCCTGCCTGCTAATCTCAGAAACAACAGGAGCATCAGAAAAATTAGGCTCGTGCAGTAATTAAAATTTATTAAAAACTTTACTTCTTCCAATTTCTCTAGGATTTTGTTATAGTTTTATTAGAGAACCTTGACTAGGAACTGCCTATATATTGCTATTTTAGCTTAAAATGCCAATGCCAATTCACTTCTTGCAAATAAACTTAATGACAAATCAGGTGGGTACATGCCTGCCCATTCTACTCCTGTTTCACACAACTGACAAACCATCTCACATGAGCCCTCTTTACATACATGGTGCATAATTTAGAGGTGGCAAATCAAGCTTATGAAAACAAAGCAGCTTCTGTGCAAGAGATCCTCCCTCCCCTCCCCCCCCCAAGTTTTAGTTTTCCCAAAATACCTGAATAAAACTAAAGATAAAATGGCTGATAACCACAACTTGGAAGGAAAGCAGTTATTTCTTTCTGCAGGCATATGGAAGAGCTCACACATGCTTCTTAGGCATTTCAAGCATTATTCACACCACGAGGAATGGCAATCTCTTGTTTACTGTAAACTGTCAAAATAATCAAGAGGACGCCACAGAATCTAAAGCAGGGATTTGGTTTGCTTCATAAGGACCTCGGCTGCCCACCTTGTAAAGTATGAACTTCCTTCTGCTTCAAATTTTATTCTGGACATAATTATTTTTATTTTTATTTAATTATAAAACTGTAACACTTATTAATTCAATGCCTTTCACGAGTGTTCATAATGGTTTACTAACACATTTAAGAACCAAGCAAGTCATTCATAATTGCCAGCATGAAGCTGCTATACAAATAGTCTAACTGTTTGCAGAACAATGCAGTCTATATTAACAAGGAAATTTTTTTTCTTCCCACATAATTACCAAGCTGAAATGAACAGCCCATTGAAAAGAAATCTGGCAATGAAAAACAGGCGTTCCAGTCCCACAAGATAAATATTGAAAGGTTTTTATCTTAATGAAAACAGGATGTTTAATTTTGATATCTGAACTCACCTCAGCAGAACACAAAATTAGCCATTCCTGATCCTCCACTTCACCACACCCAAATGGTCTCTTCCTGATAGAAATCTGGCAACATGTTGCCTGGTCTTCATTAAATTCTGATTTTTCTGCATTAACAGTTCTGATGAAACAAATAATAAAGGTTCAAAACAGTTAGGATAACTGAAGCATGCCTCAGGTAAAAATAAGCCCAATTAATTTCTGTAAAGGAATTGAATGGAGCCTAATATATCATTAGTATATCTTTACGCTGTAGTCCTATACATATTTACTTCCACGTCCAATAAACTTGGTTGGATTTGCTTTAGGCAGAATGCTAATAATTATTTCAAATGACAAATATGGAAGCACAGCGCAACAAAATCTTGATCTGCAATGTAAAAAAAAAATCAGTGGAATTGGGGTTCTGAATATTTCTGCTTAATATTCACACTGTCTTCTTGAGTTTCCAACAGGAGGTGATTTTTGTTCCATTTTTCTTTTTCCTTTATTCATTATCAGATTCTCTGAGCCCCATAAGAACTGCATGAAAATCCTCTTCAGTCGTTTATCCCACTGAGATTTAAGCACCTGTTTGCAATTCTGCGAGAATCCTATCCATTTCCTAACTTCTCATTTCTCTTCTGGGAGTGGCCATTTCTGTCTAAAATAGTGCTCCTAGACCTAGGATCTTCCTCAAGTTTTATCTATTTGCCATCCGTTTTTAACTAGATGACAATGGAAGACTTCTAGCAATGGGTTCTAGATTTACTGTATGTAACAAGAAATAACAGGAGATGTGGGAAACTATAAGAGGAGCCACGAGGATTGTCAACCTTGTTATCTTTAGAATCTGTCTTTTTCTGGTCCCTTAATTTATGCCTCTTTCTATAATTAGCCATTCACTTACTTAACACAATCTAATTCATGCAAGTCAGTTTTCTGGTTTAAAGTTTGAAGGGCTTCTATCTCTATAGAGGATATGAAACAATTTTCTGATCTCACAGCTTCTCTAGCTGCTGTAAACTTAACTGCTTTGATATTACAAGATTTTATGAGCTAAAATAAGGCTAAAACAAAACAAGCTGATTAAGTCGAATCCTAGTGTGAATCCTAGTTCTACAAGAAATCCCTCAGTTCAACTAATACATCATCAAGTTTCAGACAATGCCAATGCATTAAGCAGTCTTACATCTTAACAGGGAAATACAAGCACAATTTTTCAGGCCCCAAATCTGGTAAGTAGGGGGGGCACATTTATATCTCCACAACTGGGCATGAACTTAAGTCCAATTTACAGACTCTCATAACTTGTGATTATATGGATACAACCAACAGTTATATTATCAATGACATGGAAACAGTCTGCCTCTGCCTGTATGCAAGAATACCAGAGTACAACCTTCATGTTTCTTGATACTAGTCTCTCAACCAAGTATTAAAAAGGCTTAATCCTTTTTAGCTTCTGAAATCAGATAAGGTAGCAATGAAACAAGGTAATGGAGACTTCTCAGGAATAATCAAAACATGAACCAATTGGCTTCCAATATATCTCATTGTAGATATGCAATACTTTTCAGATGCATTCAAACTACAAGACGAGAACATCCACCCACCTCTAGATATACTGACAATTCTGGAAGTTGTAACCTAAACCTCATGGGGTGAAGGGAGGGTAGAGTCAGGTTGAACAAAGCTGTTTGACTTCTTGTGCATGTGTGCGCCTTCACATCAGTGTGAGTCCAGATGGCAATTTCTTAGCAAAATTTAGAAGTGGTTTGCCATCTTCTTAGGGCTGAGAGTTACAGACCCAAGGTCCCCTGGCTGGCTTTGTACCTAACATGGCACTAGAACTCCCAGAGGCTTAGCTATTACCCCAATCTGGTTTTACTTCTTAGAGCTCTTCATTTATCTGTGAATTCTATTTGGGGGATGAGCTTTTCTTGCCTTTCTTTGTGTCTCTTTAAATGATCTCACATAGGAGATTTTTCTTCCAATATGAACTAACCATAAACCTCCTACAAATTGCATACCCGACCTGGGATAGTCATCCTCTTCCACCTAGCAAGCAGCTTCAGGAGGGACACACATGGAGCAATGAAGGAGGAGGGGACACCTGCCTTGTCAGCTAGATCAGCCAAATCAACCCTGGCAATCAGTGGGGTGACAGATGTTGCAGCAAGATCGCCCTCCCATCCATCCAACTTCCTATAAATCAGTTTCACTGTGCTAAATTTTCATAAACACAGGAAGTAGCTGACATGCAAAATGTCCTTTTCTTCTAATCAGCATGTACACACAGTGTACTCTATTTCAAAAGATAGACATCTGCTGTATTTTTGATTCAATGTTTACGTCATGACAAAACTGGTGATGTGAATCCTTGGTCATAAAAGGGTAGCAACTCTAGCAAGAGAGGAAGATAGTCATGCAGGAAAGAAATATAAAAGCACAGACGTGAAGGATGAACAATACGACAACATCTTAAGAAATCTGTCCCTGCCAGTAACACAAGTGATGTAATGGATTAGATAATTGATTTTCAAACACAAACAGAAAGGAACTAGTGTTGTTTCTTTTTTTCAAGGTTATTAGCAAAGATGAATCTCCAATCAACTTTGTCCAAGTAAGAATATTTTATCTTCAACATTTTAGTTAGTTAGGTTCTATTTGATATGGTTCAACTAAGTAACTATATGGCCAAATGGTCTCCCATTTCACTTGACCGCAGCAACTATCTACAGCTCATCTTGGGATCCCCAAGGTGCTTTTTTCCAAAGGCAACTGATGTTTCTTGGTTTTTTTCTTTGAAAACATTTTGCTTCTCATCCAAGAAGCTTCTTCAGTTCTTCAGCTTCTTGGATGAAAAGCAAAACGTTTTCGAAGACTTTTCTTGGTCTTCAATAAAAGATCAAGAAAGTTTAGTTGCCTTTTGGAAAAAAGCACCTTTGGGACAACCATGACTTGGATGACCCCCCACCCCCCACCCCCACCCCAGCACAGTAGAGTTGCCAATAAAGCAGCAACCTTGAAACAGGTGTCAGAGGAGATGTGTGTTTTGGAAGCTCTGGAGCCACCAGCAAATCAAAAAAAGCAGTTGAATAAAAGAAGCATGTTCCTTCAAAGGGAATGGATGGTCCAAACGAGGGGGAGGAAAGGCAAAGCAAAGCATCATGTGGAAAGATGCAAGCGCTCTATTATGGCCCATTAATAGAGAAAGAAAGAAAAAACGGAAGAAATTCCAAAGAGAGGAATTAAAACAGGAGGGAGAACAAGATTTGCAAGAAAAAAACATTGCTACGTAATAGTAATATTATAGGATGTAGTTAGGTAATATCAAAGAGGAAATGTTGTAATAACAATAGAATAGTTATACACTAAGATACATTATAGAGGAAATATAATAGTAATTAAATAATACAATACAGTATATTGTTATAGTAATAGTAATTAGTATAGTAATATAGAAAAAATACTAATAGAATACAGGATAGAGACAATAGAAAGCACTCACATAGAGATTTGTAAGTTTTGTATTTCATTTTTATGTCTTGTTTTTTTCCTTCAGCAGAGCTGAAGAAGCTTCCTAAATGTCTTCAAAGAAAAATCAGAAAGTCCAGTTGCCTCTTGAAAAAAAGCATCTTTGGGACATTCATACAGTAAGTTAAGATTTTAATGTAAATTATATTGTCATTTCTTTTTTACATTGCCATATCATCTATTGGATTATATTTATGAGAAAAAAGAAAAAGTACCCAACTTTGTTATTGTTGTTGGGTCAAGCATCCTTTGTATATTAGTAGAATTCAGATGAAGTTTCAGTAACAACCACGGACAAAGTTAGATAAATGTTAAGTGGCAAAGAAATGCAAAAGTTCAGAAAACCTAAAAAAGGGGAAAATAATTTCACAGAACTAAAATACCAAAAGGAAATCTTTACTTTAATTATTGTCAATATCCTTTATCATCACATCTTGATTTATAATCAAATATTGTATCTCCCTTGGATTATTCACCTGACTTTTCAAGCACACTATTCAATGTACTTCTATTTTCTTGGACTCAATAGTAAACTTCCATTTTCATTTACTTGCCATAAACCTTGAATTGTCAAACTCAACTAGAGTTGAGGTCAATCATGTATCTACTCAAACTTTATCTTTAATAACTTAGAGGGCAATTAAATTTGGACTTATCATATAAATAGCAGCATCTTCTAAAAGATGGTTCCAGATAATTTTAAGAGGCAAGAGTTTAGGAGGAACTCTACCTTAGTTCTACTGTATACATAATTTCTGACTGATCTTAAATTTTCCATTCTTGTTCCTCAATGACCTACAGTGGAAAGTGAACAGCATGATTTATATATCACATTTAGAAACCACCCATCTTCTCCACACAGCAACTCTGGGCAAATTATGTCACCGTTGGATTTAAAAGCTTTCAATACTGTCAACTATGATATTTTAGATTTTTCCTACGCATTGCACACATCTCACATGTTCTAGAAGACAACAGAAATGAACCTTCAACTAATATTCAGATCCAGTGCAAGAGGGAAAGACTAGGGCAAAATACTCAAAAAGCTGTTGACCCAAGGTAATGTAGCTTCCCAAACAAGAACATTCTTTTCCATTTCTACAAACACACAAGGTTCAACTCAAATTACTGAAAATTCGGCTTTTGACTATCATATATTCATGTCATTTTTCTCACATTGAAATGATCCTCTGGACTTGTTTTTCAGGTTTAGCTAACCTCACTGAATATATTTTATCTAAAGGCATTATCTCAAGGAAAGGTTAAGATTTTAGTGCAAAAATTTCAGTACAAGGAGGAGAGAAAAGGAGTCCCTTTTGTAATAGCCAGATTTTCCATGTTAGGCAGAAACTTAGTTTAGCTTTTCCAGTTGCAAAATATCATGCTGGAAATAAGAATGGTTTTATAAGAATATAAAACATGCTAATATTTCAGTCTATCATCAAACTGATGCATTCTCCTATCAACATGATTACCAACAGTTACCTTGCTTATTATGTATGGCTTCAAGCAGACTTTTTTGTATTTTACCCTTCTATTCACTTGAATGCTTGAGAAATTAGTAATGAAAATATAAAATACAATAAAGACATGACATTATGGCAATAAGACACAGAATCCCTGTTTGAATAATACTTAGATGAAGATATTCCAGTACCTTATTTTAAAAGGTAATGAAGATTTATTTAATCATACAGAAATGCAGCATATTTGCTTCACTATGGATTGCTGCACTTTAAATCAAAGTCACTCGCTTGTTGGAACAGAGAAAATCTGTTTCATTGAAGCAATGTATTATTTTTCCCCTTTAAAATGTAGTTTTCAAGGTAAACATTCAATTTATTGCAGTATACTTGACAATTAATGTTTTAAAGACATGAACAAAGCACTCATCCACTTCTTCACCACTTTATACTTTTTAAATCTCACTCCTTCCTAAGAATTGTTTGTTGTCCTCTGCAATGATGAAATAGCTGAAGCAAAAAAAAAAGTCCTTAGCCTTTGAAAACCCTTCCTCATCTCTTGCTCAGGGAAAGAGTAATATTTTCAGTCCCTGATCCTAAGTGACTGGCAAATTTACATATTGGGTCCAGCAGCTTTACTGGCAATGATATAGCAGAGTGACTTAACACCCCACTTAACTATTGAATAGCAGCAATTAGCTACTTGCAATTTCCAAGCCATCTTCAAGGGTAACTCCATGGAGAATAGGGGTCTATTTGTAATGATGCTGTAAGTGTTACATGGACAGAAAAACAGAATATAAATTTAGCTGGAATCAAATATGTTGGAATCATCCCACTGAGAAATTTTAAAGGCTGAGATACTAAGGTTATAGTGGTTCAAAGAAGGTAGCAGATGGCACACCAGGCAAAGCTGAACATAATACTGCCTCTAAAACCCCAGAAAAAGGTTTAAATTCTGGTTTAAGAATCAGATTTCAAATGCAAATAATGAAGTTATTGACAATACAAATAGGGAAGTTGAAACTCCTGTTTTGTTTCTTGTCTCTCCTACCAGTGCTCGTAAAACATCCTTGCAGAAAAGGAACTCACAACAAACCTAGGCTAATGCCATTAATTTAACAACTGACAACTGTGTAATAAAGCAAATGTAGTTTCAGGGAAGCTGTAACACACATTTTCTTTATGCAAATGCAATGAGTAGTATATTTCACTAGTATAAATACAACAGGTGAAGTTATGAGTTAATTTCTTAAAAAGTTATTGCAAAACACTAGAAATTCTCCTTATGTTAGTTTTTCTGCACATTAGACGCCAGATATTGTATGGACACTATGGCACAAATACCACTGACAATATAACTATTAGGTTTTGCCATGAAACACTTTATAATACCCAAACAAAATGCCTACCTGATTATTGTATAAAAGATGCTATCACAACACAGTTTTGGTTTTTGAATTGCTCCTAAATACAAATACTCCTTAGCAGCAGTTACTGAATAGATCCTGGGTACGGTAGGGCTTTCCGTCCCTAGTTTAACATTAATATCTTTTAGAATTACAATGTAATGGGTGACTTCATAATAATGTCTAAGTTCTAAAGTTGTGAAAAATTAAGGCTGAGAAAGTCTATGTTAACCAAAGCTTGTTAGCCCATCCTAATGTAAACTTAACTTTGATAATTTTCCAGACTCATGGTTAGGAAAATTGCTTAAAAACAATGAGACATTTTCCTTTCCCACCTTGGCACTATAGATGTTTAGCTCTCTGTTCATACCCCAAACCAACATTTGTTTGTTTATTCTTGTCTTACTTTTATTTGTTCTTATCCTCAACACAGTTGCCGAAAGGTACAAAAAGTTACTAAAAATGTCCTGGGTATAGACTGGAAGGTTGTAATTCAGTGTCTTATTAAACTGAACTATTCTATAGGACTTTCTACCGCATGTGGGGGGTTTTCAGCAGAACAGCAGCAAGGGCACCTTTCAAAGTGCCCTAAGATGCATTACTGCTATTGTGGCTGTCCTACACATCATTTAGTTCAGGGGTCTCCAACCTTGGCGAGTTTAAGCCTGGCGGACTTCAACTCCCAGAAATCCCCAGCCAGCAAAGCAAAGCAAAGCTGGCTGGGGAATTCTGGGAGTTGAAGTCCGCCAGGCTTAAAGTTGCCAAGGTTGGAGACCCCTGATTTAGTTTGTCCCTGAAACGGGTGGGCCGCCTTTCCAAAGAAAACTTAGCACCCGAGAGAGGCCAACCAAGCCCAGAGTCAATCTCCTCATCCCGCGCCTTAACTGTTTCTGTCAAGCAGCCTTCTTTCTACCTAGGGTGCCCGGGATACTCACTCGGCATAGCCCGTGTTCCACTGGAGAGGCCTGTCCCGGGAAGGGCAGCAGATGGGTCGCTTCCCAGGCAACTTCTCCGCGCAAACCGCTCCACGCAGGAATTTGGGCCGCCTGTATTGCAAAGGAGCTGGCGGCGGCTTCGGCTGCTGCGAGCCTCCCTCCTCGGCTCGTTGCTGCTGCTGCTGCTGCTGCTCAGCAGCGCCTTTTCCGCGCTTCGTCTCGCCGTTCAAGAAGCACTTCTTAAACCAGCTTGAAGACATTAACTGAGCTGAGCGAAGCCCCATCCGACCCCCCTTTCTTCTTCTTCCACTTCTTCCTACCAACTGAGCGGATTGCTAACTCAGGCAGCGCCCAACCGCGAGCGAGCCAACAGCAGGGGCGGAGAAGAGGCGGTTCTTGCAACCAATGACTTCAACGGCGGGCAAGGGAGTTCAAAAGGGCTGGACGTCTGGCGGTCCTGGGAGGGCGTGGAGTGGCGGCAGCGGGGCCTCAGTCTTGACGTCCCCCCCCCCTTTTTTTTTTTTGGTTGCTCTTTGCAACCGTACAGGGAACTGTTTGGCCTCGCTCGACGTGCTAATCCACAGTTTCCTCACAAAGGCGAGCCAAGCTTGCCTTTGGAAGTAACTTTGTAGGTTGCAGGAACTGGGCATGGCTAGTCTAGTGAAGAGAAGGACCAGGGGAGAGATGATAGCAGTGTTCCAATACTTGAGGGGCTGCCACAGAGAGGAGAGAGGGTCAAGCGAGTTCCCAAAACACCTGAAGGAATAATGGATGGAAACTGACCAAGGAGAGATTCAACCTAGAAATTTTCTGACAGTGAGAACAATCAACCTATGGAACAGCTTGCATTCAGAAGTTGTGGGAGCTTCATCACTTGAGACTTTCAAGAAAAGATTGGACTGCCATTTGTCAGAAATGGTGTAGGGTCTTCTGCTTGAGGGAGGGTTGGACTAGATGACCTATAAGGTCCCTTCCAACTCTGTTAATCTATAACCCAAAGGGGTCTTCTCACTGCCATTACTCGCGCAAGGGAGTTAGTGAAGGGAGGAAGAATAAAAGCATTCCCCGGGAGCATCTCCTTTAAACTGACCGGTCTCTACCTGTCATCCGGGGTGTTCAGACGGGTTGAGGATCCCCTTCATTATAATTGCAGCATGATATGACGCTTCTCCGCTTCTCCTTTTCACCAGACGTTGCTAGGATAAGTCCGTTCCAAGAGAAAGAAAAGTATATCAAGTTAGTCTCCACCTCTGGTTCGCTAACCAGAGGTCGCTTATAAAAGAAGTGGAGTATCAGTGCAATAACTTTCCCCCTGTTGATCCACATCAGTAACTTGAATTTTGAGATACTCTTCTTCTCTATGAATTTAACTAACTTTCCTCCATTTTGTACACCAGTGGTTAGTGTCCAAAATCCCAATGGCAACTGTACCTGTGCTAGCCTTAGTTGTACGCAACAATCTTGCATTAACTGAATTTTGGCTTGCATTAAATATGGCCTGGTATCAATTTATTGTTCGTACTAAATCAGATATTGCACTATTGAACTTGTAGTAATTGTGACCTAACTTATAACAATTCTTAGATGAGAAGTGAAATGTCTTCAAAGAAAAATCAGAAAGTCCAGTTGCCCCTTGAAAAAAAGCACCTTTGGGATATTCATATAGTAAATTATTGGATTATATTGTCATTTCTTTTTTACATTGGCATATTACCTATTGGATTATATTTATGAGAAAAACGAAAAAGTATTCAACTTTGTTATTGTTGTTGGGTCAAGCATCCAGATAAAATGCAATACATCATGCGCTATCCAGATAAAATGCAATACATCAGTCACTGCATATTTTTGTTCCAGTATGCAATTGCTAATTGTCCCAAACTTAGATTTTGCCACTCTCATGACAATTGTTAAGTGAAATGATTGTTGTGCAAATATCTAACTGAAAGAGAGGCTGTGAAGATTGCTGGTTGCTGTCATCTCATCCTTATACAGTGTCCTGTATCTGACTCATTTCTTCCTCATTTTTGTTCCCTTTCAGGGTAGAAACATTTGCATAAATAAGGTATCCTTTCTGAGCTATTTTTCTCAGCAGCACCAAGCATCTTTAAAAAGTACTAATTACAAGTTAACAAATTCCCCTGTGACTTTAATTAGTTGATATGAACTCTCCCTGAACTGCCTGAAGCTGACCAGACTATAATCAGTTTCACACTTAAGCTTTTATAGTTGTAAATGTGCACATTGGTGGGAAATTACTTAAAATATTTTATTTATTTAATCAATTTATCGAACTGTCCACTCAGCACAACTCAGGCTGGTCTATATCAAATTTCATAAACCCACATATTAGAAAAGCATATATAGTAAACATAAATGAGCATGAAAACATGAACACATGAAATGCTGGGGGGAAACATCTTTTGATATTTTAAGCAGTCCAACTCATTGGCTTCCTTGTTGTTTCTTGTTTTGCTGTTTCTGCTGTACATAACTTTTTAAAATTGTTTTAATGGTTTATTGCTTTTCAGATTCATGTCTGCACCCTTTATAATCTACTTTGTTTTATTTTATTTATTTTGCCCAAGTACATGTTTTTTTTTATAGTCTCGTGAGTAAAATAGTGCTTCTCTTTTCTGAAGAAACTTTTCCTTCCTCTTACATCTTCTTTGACTCAGCTTCTTATTCATATTATTTCTCTGCTTGGGTGAGTTAATACCAATCCTAAATTGCAACAGACATTCCAAATAAACTTTGTTGTCTTAAATAACTTCCAAAGATTCTAGAATTCTAAAATTGGCCCTCTTAGAAAATTTGCATGAATCTATATATGTACAGTGGTGGGTTTCAAAAATTTTTTACTAACGGTTCTGTGGGTGTGGGTTGGTGGGTGTGGCATGGCTTGGTGGGCATGGCAGGGGAAGGATACTGTAAAGTCTCCATTTCCACCCCACTCCAGGGGAAGGTTGCTGCAAAATCCCCATTTCTTCCTGATCAGCTGGGAATTGGGAGGCAGAGAATAGATGGGGGCGGGGCCAGTCAGAATTTTTACTACCAGTTCTCTCAACTACTCAAAATTTCCGTTACCGGTTCTCCAAAACTGGTCAGAATCTGCTGAAACCCACCTCTTATATGTACATATCCGTGTGTGCACATACACACCATATTTCCTACCAGATCAATAATCCCTATACTTCTGATGACCAAATTGAAGGATGTTGTAAGTAGCCACCCATTGCTGCTGAGAATCAGATGGTATACAAGCTTAGTAAATTATTATTATTCAAACCAGATTTTCTTTTGGAGACAGGATACCATTCTAAATAGACTTTGGTTTGATTACTAATACTTGAATACATAAAAATTTAGTTCCTTGTTTTGATTTCTACATCCAGTTTTTATTGGTTTTTACTGTTAACAACAATAATGTAGAAAGAAGATATTTATAGCAAATGACATCTTTGCTTAGTCATAGTCATGCCTCCTCACCATTTGAAGCCTATAATAGTTCTGCAGAGCTTTATGGAGTCTAATTATAAAATATTTGCTGGTCAATTTGACAATTGGCACCACTTCCTTGCTGGCAGAAGGGCTGGATTTAGATATAGGGAAGATCTAATTGATAAGTGCTAACAGAGAAGACAGTGTAACCCCCTGAATTGGAGAAGAATACTACCAAAATGCCTGACAATCCTGTGAAAGGGTGAGAAAGGGCCTGCTGTGAACAGAGGATGTGAAGGCAGGCAAAACAAAGCATATCTTAATTAATGAGGCTCATGTGAGCCATATAGGAGGGTTTAATTGATGGAAATGTAATTCATATAAGAAATTACAATAAAACTGTAACTCAAAAACCACTGGAAGTTTGAAATGCTCCTTCCTTCTGTGAGGCTCTAAATTATACAGTATTTGCTTAGCTTATATTTAAATTTGGCTCTGGATGATAGTTCAGACAAATTAAAAGGTCCATGTTTTTGAGACCATTTAGTGTCCTTGATCATCTTATGGTCTGTGTCCTTTGAATAACGTAACTGTGTTTTATTACTTTAAAATATTTGTAAATTTCTTTGCAGTTTCTGTATTATTAATATTTGGAATAGCGCTATTTTAAATAAATAATTATGCAGATAATATTAGTGTTACCTAGTTTGGATAATGAAATATCCACAAGAAAACAACCACTCTCAAAGAACACAAAGGATTACTCATTTCAACCCGAGTTACAAATATTATCCTCTATCGGTAGCAGTGGTGGGATTTAGCCGGTTCGCATCAGTTCGGGAGAACCAATAGCTAACTTTGTGCAATTCAGCTGAATAGGCCATGCCTCGCCCCTCCCAGCCACTCCTCGCCTCAAATTGCTGTCTGCGGACCAGCCTTGAGCCCTAACTGCCCAACTCAGCCACTGAAAACCAGGCTTCACAACCAGCTAGGCAAGGAAGCAAACTGCCTGCTCCAATCTCCAACTTGGACAACACAACTCCCCCATCACCCACGGCGCACAGCGAGGAAGGCAGCAACCTGCTATATTTGCTCTCTCCACCACCCAAACACAGAAAACTCAGCTTCCGTCATTCACACAGTTACAATTTCCAACTAATGGAGGGTGGAAGGGAGGGAGGGAGAAAAAGCGGGGGAACTGCCTTGAAACATGGGGGGTGCTCCCAGCCATAGAGGGGTGGCTCCCTTCCAAACCCACCACCAAACCCGGAATCTCTTGCTTGCTCAGGCCAGTGGTTGGGACGCGTGGCCAATGAGCCCAGCTGCAGGACCATGAAAGAGGGGAGTGGCAACTCGGAGCTGCCTGCAATCAGATGATGGGGACGGGAAGTGGAACAAGCAGCCCTTAGACTCTACGTTGCCCTCGGTCTCCAGAGTCTGGTCCTCTCCTTCCAGCCATAGCCCCACCAGCAACCCTCCACCTGGTAAATTTCCAGCACCGTCGCCTCCATCATCAATCAGCCGCTCAGGAAAGAGGAGGAGAGGCGGGGGTAGGTATGGGGAGTGGATCAGATGATGGCAGCAACCCAGTGCACCTGATCTGGTCAACTGTTTGTTCTGAGGAGGTAGCCTGCCAGGTGAGTGGGACTCACCTGGGCTTGCAGGACCACTTCCCTCCCTCTCTCCCCCACCAGCATACTTGGATTCCAGGTGCTGAAGGAAGAAGCTGATGGAGAAACGGGTGTGTGTGTGGAGGGAGGGAGGGAGTGGCCATTATAGAAAGTTTCTGAGCAGCGAGGACTCAATGAAAGGCCAGGGAATCGAGCAAACGTTTGAAGGGGGTGGGTTTCCAGAAATAAAATGTCCTCTCCCCCCCCTTTCAAAAGAAAGGAGGTAGGCAAATAGAATAGAATAGAGCTGGAAG